TAGTTGAAACTAGTTTATACTGAATGTCTTTGTTAAAACCCGTTTTGTCTAGTTAAAACTTAGATTTACTGCTAGTCAAAAATGAATTTGAGTTAAAACTAGTTTTAACTAGACAAAACGGGTTTTAACAAAGACATTCAGTATAAACTAGTTTCAACTAGTTAAAACGCGTTCTAACTAAAAACGGGTTTTGACTGTAACATATATATAACTTATTTAGTCATTGTATAATTATTGTTATTGACTACAATAACAACAATTATACACCATTTTACAGTGAATAAATAAGTTTATACGACATTGTTTAGAAACTAATATATAGGCCTATTATTATAATGTAATTTATTTGTTTAGTGTATATCTGTTTTATAACTGCTGTTATAAATTTTCTCTAATAAATAAATACTGTAAAGTGGTTGTATTCTAAATTATAAATTTTCGTCTATAAATAAGCATTCACTATTATCAGGACTTATTATACTGGCTTAACAGACAATACAAAGTTTCATAGAAAACAATTTTTATTTAATATTTTGTTTTCTCTGAAACTCTGTATTGTCTGTTAAGCCAGTATAATAAGTCCTGATAATAGTGAATGCTTATTTATAGACGAAAATTTATAATTTAGTAAGAAAAGGACATTAAGGCATTTTAATTAAATGGTTGTATTCTAACTTAGCGATGGCCTTACGATCCTTCCCTGAAACATTCTAAACTGATTATACAGTATAATATCTAATATCCGAGATTACATTCTATGAGAACAGTTTCGTTATAATTAATATAAGATATGAAAACATGGAATTTTAATTGTCTCTGACTTAAACTGAGTTTTTTATTCAATGAATGATAACTGACTAACAAATATTCATAATAGTAATGTAAAATTTAATTTCATAAATGTATGGAATTATATATATATATTTGTGAAGATTTAGATACTCTATATATATATATATATTTGTGTAAGATTTAGATACTATATCGAAATATATTTTCATATATAGTAATTCAAGAAGGTAACCAGACCTGTCTTATCATCTGACAAGATTTTTAAGATATACTTTCCGAAAAATAAGTAAAAGAAAAAATCGCAGCGGTTTAAAATTTCAATGTTTATTGTTTAAAATATCGTCAACATTAACAGTTTTTGAAACTTCTCATTCTATTGCTATTTTATTCTTTTATGCATTGATTTTTTCCTATTTGGGGGTCACTAAAATTGTCTGTATTTATGCCCATCAAAGGATCTTCCAGGCTTGTTATGAAACGCCAGTTTTTGATGGATGGGAACAATATGTCCCTGCCAGATGACCCATGTAAATTTTTCGCACCCGAATATGCTGACTGGCTATTTATAACTTACACGTATCTAAAAGTGCATATGACTATTTTAAGAGTTAGTAAAACCTATGTGGATTTACTTGGATTTTTGAAACGAGACTCACATTATGTGTGACCTGTTTTGTCCACTGTGCGCTTTATGTGCATAGTGGACAAAACAGAGGTTACACATAATATGATGTCTCGTTTCAAAAATCTAATTCAATCCACACAAGTATGCACTGTGCACGTTATGCGCATAGTGGACAAAATAGAGGTTTCGTATACGGACTAGTCAGCCAATAACTACAATGGTTGAAGATTGTTAACTATGCCACTACCGAATTATTCATATAAATTCGAATTAAGATTTTACATAGAACACGTCGACTTTACACTTACGGAGTAACTCAATATGTAAACAATGTTTACTTACACGAGTTACTCCTTAAGTGTAAACACTACTTTGCTGCGAAGATATTCGGCTGGTGACTCATTCGACGAATTTTTAATCTAATGGCGATTTCTTCATATTAGTTCTAAAACATTCCAATGATATAATTGCATTATTAAATCTCATCAGTTTAAGCCATTATCCAGTCTAATCAGAATAATTTTAAGTATCTTGTAAGATCTCTCGAATTCTTCCTTGCAGAAAATTCTACGTAGGCAGTCATTTACCGCAGAAAAGATGAATAATGTAATTTATATTATTGATAACTATATGTGAAAATTTAAATTATATCATTTTATGAAAATTATCTAGNTATTTAAATATATATTTTTTTTGTTTTTGTATAAATAATGACAATTTTATTGCATATAGCAATAATATAAACAATATATGAGCAAAAATTATTGTGGCAATGTTACAATGCCGGACTGCAGATTTTAATCATATTTTTAATTTATTTTATTTAAAATATACGGTAAAGGAGGGTTAGATGGTGAATAAAAGATCTGAAGCTGTGAATGTGAAAACAAATTTTATTTAAAAAAATGACTAAACTTGTGTTTTCTTATTGTACCAAATAATACAATAACGGGCAAAATTAGGAAAAACAAAATATAAGTTTCCGCTAAATCATCATCTTACCCTCAAAAGTGTGGGTTAGTTTGTGAACAGTATATGGATGAACTCTCTACCAGAGCCTATTCTGTTATTTTTGGTACAGGTTACAGGTTAGCCCATTATTCAAGCTTCTAAAGTATTATGTAGAAGAAACAAAAGTCGTCCGCTAATCTTAAGATTTTCGAGGTTGCAATAAATATAGACATTCTGTAAGTCAGAAACAAAAATATTCTATTTTTTCACTTATTTTAACAGCAATTGCCCATAAATAGCACACATAACACGCATAACTTTCAATTAACACAATATATCTGTGTGGCGCTTACCTTTATACAGTAATTACACGTATTCACTAACTAACCCTTATTTATCCTATGCTCTCTCAAATTTAGTGTAATGCTTTCCCCTGTACATCATACTTTTCCTGATAACAACAGTCATACTGGTCATCTAACTCCGTTCTGTAGAAAGTTTTCGAATTGAATTCACGTTACTTCCGGTCTGAACTGGATTTTAGTATACAGTTAATCGAGGCCTCCTGCCCATATTAGTCTCGATTTTCATCTATCTAACTCCGTTTTCGAGATGAAGGGCAGATAGAACAGACGCCAATGGGACTTTATATGTCTGAAATTTGAAAATTGAGCCAAATAATCAAAGAAATCTCGTAAGNATTCAGTGATATAGAACAGTTTCACTGATTTTTGTTTTTCCTTTCCTCAGTTTTTACAGATACAGAATTAATTTTTATGCAACGTTTTGAGTATTATGAAATTAAAACTCTTACCTCTTTACTGGGAGTAAGCACCAGAATAAAAAATCGAACATCATGCAATGTTCGGCCCATGTTGGCAGGGTGTTTTAACCGAGCAACAGCTACATGGCGTCGATGTAAAGAAGGAAGATTGCACCTAAATTATAAATATTTTTTTTCTTTTGAATCAATCGACAAGGGAATTGGACAATAAAATATAAATCATTTTAAAGTTGAAAGAACATCATATTTATCTTAAATAGTAAAAATTTATATTGTATTTACTAAAAATATGTAAATTTAACTATAAAATTTTTTATTACGTATATGAAAACATTTTTTAATATAAAAGTATTTAAATTATATAGGTCTATATATATAATTTGGTTATTTAGCTACAAAATCAGCTAATTGAATTAAGCTTTATAAAATATCATTATCAGTTATCTAAAGAAATACGATACAGCGTTCAAAATTGTTTCAAAGATTAACTTACATGGCACAGACCCAAGACTGATCGTAATCAAATCCACCTCCATCGCTGTAATATGTTCCTTGGATCGTCCGCGATAACAAATGCACTAAAAATAAAAATTAGAGAAATATTTAGATTTATTTAAAATTAAAATATTACTACAGTTACTATTACCTGATTCGTGAGTAAAGAGTGTGTCCTTCGCTTCGGTTATTGTCGTCAGAGGTTCTCTGTCATCCAAAACCTGAAATTTTAATATTCATTTAGAAATATATACTTATTTTAATATTTTATTTTATATTTTTATAACTAGCAAAATTAATTGTCATTAGATTATAAACTGTGAATAAATTTAAAATGTTAGAAAAGAATACACACTTGAGATGAAGCTTAATAAGATTCTAACTATTATTAACTTCAAACTATTCTAACAATAGTTTAAAGCCTTACAAAGTTTATTAAATTGGGTGCTTTAATATTAATATTTATTAGCTTATTAAAATTATATTTTTAATATATTAATAAATTTTAATAGTTCTTTAGCTAGATAATTTTCATAAAATGATATAATTTAAATTTTCACATATAGTTATCAATAATATAAATTACATTATTCATCTTTTCTGCGGTAAATGACTGCCTACGTAGAATTTTCTGCAAGGAAGAATTCGAGAGATCTTACAAGATACTTAAAATTATTCTGATTAGACTGGATAATGGCTTAAACTGATGAGATTTAATAATGCAATTATATCATTGGAATGTTTTAGAACTAATATGAAGAAATCGCCATTAGATTAAAAATTCGTCGAATGAGTCACCAGCCGAATATCTTCGCAGCAAAGTAGTGTTTACACTTAAGGAGTAACTCGTGTAAGTAAACATTGTTTACATATTGAGTTACTCCGTAAGTGTAAAGTCGACGTGTTCTATGTAAAATCTTAATTCGAATTTATATGAATAATTCGGTAGTGGCATAGTTAACAATCTTCAACCATTGTAGTTATTGGCTGACTAGTCCGTATACGAAACCTCTATTTTGTCCACTATGCGCATAACGTGCACAGTGCATACTTGTGTGGATTGAATTAGATTTTTGAAACGAGACATCATATTATGTGTAACCTCTGTTTTGTCCACTATGCACATAAAGCGCACAGTGGACAAAACAGGTCACACATAATGTGAGTCTCGTTTCAAAAATCCAAGTAAATCCACATAGGTTTTACTAACTCTTAAAATAGTCATATGCACTTTTAGATACGTGTAAGTTATAAATAGCCAGTCAGCATATTCGGGTGCGAAAAATTTACATGGGTCATCTGGCAGGGACATATTGTTCCCATCCATCAAAAACTGGCGTTTCATAACAAGCCTGGAAGATCCTTTGATGGGCATAAATACAGACAATTTTAGTGACCCCCAAATAGGAAAAAATCAATGCATAAAAGAATAAAATAGCAATAGAATGAGAAGTTTCAAAAACTGTTAATGTTGACGATATTTTAAACAATAAACATTGAAATTTTAAACCGCTGCGATTTTTTCTTTTACTTATTTTTCGGAAAGTATATCTTAAAAATCTTGTCAGATGATAAGACAGGTCTGGTTACCTTCTTGAATTACTATATATGAAAATATATTTCGATATAGTATCTAAATCTTACACAAATATATATATATATATAGAGTATCTAAATCTTCACAAATATATATATATAATTCCATACATTTATGAAATTAAATTTTACATTACTATTATGAATATTTGTTAGTCAGTTATCATTCATTGAATAAAAAACTCAGTTTAAGTCAGAGACAATTAAAATTCCATGTTTTCATATCTTATATTAATTATAACGAAACTGTTCTCATAGAATGTAATCTCGGATATTAGATATTATACTGTATAATCAGTTTAGAATGTTTCAGGGAAGGATCGTAAGGCCATCGCTAAGTTAGAATACAACCATTTAATTAAAATGCCTTAATGTCCTTTTCTTTCTAAATTATAAATTTTCGTCTATAAATAAGCATTCACTATTATCAGGACTTATTATACTGGCTTAACAGACAATACAAAGTTTCATAGAAAACAATTTTTATTTAATATTTTGTTTTCTGTGAAACTCTGTATTGTCTGTTAAGCCAGTATAATAAGTCCTGATAATAGTGAATGCTTATTTATAGACGAAAATTTATAATTTAGTAAGAAAAGGACATTAAGGCATTTTAATTAAATGGTTGTATTCTAACTTAGCGATGGCCTTACGATCCTTCCCTGAAACATTCTAAACTGATTATACAGTATAATATCTAATATCCGAGATTACATTCTATGAGAACAGTTTCGTTATAATTAATATAAGATATGAAAACATGGAATTTTAATTGTCTCTGACTTAAACTGAGTTTTTTATTCAATGAATGATAACTGACTAACAAATATTCATAATAGTAATGTAAAATTTAATTTCATAAATGTATGGAATTATATATATATATTTGTGAAATTATATGTAAGATTTAGATACTATATCGAAATATATTTTCATATATAGTAATTCAAGAAGGTAACCAGACCTGTCTTATCATCTGACAAGATTTTTAAGATATACTTTCCGAAAAATAAGTAAAAGAAAAAATCGCAGCGGTTTAAAATTTCAATGTTTATTGTTTAAAATATCGTCAACATTAACAGTTTTTGAAACTTCTCATTCTATTGCTATTTTATTCTTTTATGCATTGATTTTTTCCTATTTGGGGGTCACTAAAATTGTCTGTATTTATGCCCATCAAAGGATCTTCCAGGCTTGTTATGAAACGCCAGTTTTTGATGGATGGGAACAATATGTCCCTGCCAGATGACCCATGTAAATTTTTCGCACCCGAATATGCTGACTGGCTATTTATAACTTACACGTATCTAAAAGTGCATATGACTATTTTAAGAGTTAGTAAAACCTATGTGGATTTACTTGGATTTTTGAAACGAGACTCACATTATGTGTGACCTGTTTTGTCCACTGTGCGCTTTATGTGCATAGTGGACAAAACAGAGGTTACACATAATATGATGTCTCGTTTCAAAAATCTAATTCAATCCACACAAGTATGCACTGTGCACGTTATGCGCATAGTGGACAAAATAGAGGTTTCGTATACGGACTAGTCAGCCAATAACTACAATGGTTGAAGATTGTTAACTATGCCACTACCGAATTATTCATATAAATTCGAATTAAGATTTTACATAGAACACGTCGACTTTACACTTACGGAGTAACTCAATATGTAAACAATGTTTACTTACACGAGTTACTCCTTAAGTGTAAACACTACTTTGCTGCGAAGATATTCGGCTGGTGACTCATTCGACGAATTTTTAATCTAATGGCGATTTCTTCATATTAGTTCTAAAACATTCCAATGATATAATTGCATTATTAAATCTCATCAGTTTAAGCCATTATCCAGTCTAATCAGAATAATTTTAAGTATCTTGTAAGATCTCTCGAATTCTTCCTTGCAGAAAATTCTACGTAGGCAGTCATTTACCGCAGAAAAGATGAATAATGTAATTTATATTATTGATAACTATATGTGAAAATTTAAATTATATCATTTTATGAAAATTATCTAGCTAAAGAACTATTAAAATTTATTAATATATTAAAAATATAATTTTAATAAGCTAATAAATATTAATATTAAAGCACCCAATTTAATAAACTTTGTAAGGCTTTAAACTATTGTTAGAATAGTTTGAAGTTAATAATAGTTAGAATCTTATTAAGCTTCATCTCAAGTGTGTATTCTTTTCTAACATTTTAAATTTATTCACAGTTTATAATCTAATGACAATTAATTTTGCTAGTTATAAAAATATAAAATAAAATATTAAAATAAGTATATATTTCTAAATGAATATTAAAATTTCAGGTTTTGGATGACAGAGAACCTCTGACGACAATAACCGAAGCGAAGGACACACTCTTTACTCACGAATCAGGTAATAGTAACTGTAGTAATATTTTAATTTTAAATAAATCTAAATATTTCTCTAATTTTTATTTTTAGTGCATTTGTTATCGCGGACGATCCAAGGAACATATTACAGCGATGGAGGTGGATTTGATTACGATCAGTCTTGGGTCTGTGCCATGTAAGTTAATCTTTGAAACAATTTTGAACGCTGTATCGTATTTCTTTAGATAACTGATAATGATATTTTATAAAGCTTAATTCAATTAGCTGATTTTGTAGCTAAATAACCAAATTATATATATAGACCTATATAATTTAAATACTTTTATATTAAAAAATGTTTTCATATACGTAATAAAAAATTTTATAGTTAAATTTACATATTTTTAGTAAATACAATATAAATTTTTACTATTTAAGATAAATATGATGTTCTTTCAACTTTAAAATGATTTATATTTTATTGTCCAATTCCCTTGTCGATTGATTCAAAAGAAAAAAAATATTTATAATTTAGGTGCAATCTTCCTTCTTTACATCGACGCCATGTAGCTGTTGCTCGGTTAAAACACCCTGCCAACATGGGCCGAACATTGCATGATGTTCGATTTTTTATTCTGGTGCTTACTCCCAGTAAAGAGGTAAGAGTTTTAATTTCATAATACTCAAAACGTTGCATAAAAATTAATTCTGTATCTGTAAAAACTGAGGAAAGGAAAAACAAAAATCAGTGAAACTGTTCTATATCACTGAATCTACAATCACTAATTGGTAGCAAAAACTCGGCATAGCTTAACTTATATCGAAGACAAACATTGAACACAAAATATGCCTCAATAACTTGTGGTTTAGTTTGCAAATGAATAAATGGTTTTTAAATAATACCGAAAAATAGCCTAATAATATAAATTGAAGATGATATGAAAATATATTTAACATTATTATTAATATTATAGACTTCATGCGAGTCAACAGCAAATTCTGGGCGATACGACCGGCCGACATCAGTTTTGTTAATTATGAGGTAATTATAACGAGATTTACAAATATGCAGGTGATAAATCACAGGATTAAATCAGATTCGAACTCAAATTTTTTAAGAGTTAAAAGAGTCTCTTAATGCGCGACCAACCGAACTATAAATCAACTAAAGTTAATGTCACCGTTAAGTTAAACATGGCATTAACTAAAGTTAATGTCATGTTTAACATTTAGTCACCGTTTAATTAATATAAAGAGTTTTATAAGGAAATATTCTAGTATTGGACCTTAGATTATGATAAGTTTATTCTTGCTGAGACCGGAAAAGAGTTAAAATAGGAATATGATCCAGTGGCTAATTTATTTCAGTTTCAAATTTCAGATGCGTTGGAAAATTTTGAAAAATTATAGTTAAAGTTTATATTTTGGAATAATTTTTCTACATTTTAAAAAAAAATAAGCAATTTAACTTGTCAAGCAAGTAATTGTGGTGATTTTTATTTGTTTAAAACAAAATTAATTAATTACAACAAAATAAATGGCCATAGTGTCATTTAATTAAAACAAATAAAATATAGTTTTATTTCCTGTCCTTCTAGAACAGATTCGTTTTGAAAATCCAATACTTCTGTTAACTAGTTGCTTATAATCTAATTACACTGAAATACTGGTTGTAACGAAACTCCATGTCAGTATTTTAAGGATAGATTCTAGGATCAAAAATAAGCTTAAAATCCTCTATAAATGTTATTCAAATTCCCTCTGTTTATTTCGTTCCTTTGAATACATGAAAATTGAACTTTTAATACGAATATTAAGCTTAAATTCTTTTATGACTTAAATGTCCGTGTACTGTACAGTACGTGGAGCAGTTCTTACTAATTATTCTATTTAATTTATTTAGAAAACAAAATATATTTACATTCTTTAAAAACTCTTGCTTTCCACTATTCGGTTTTTTTCTGTAAAGTGGATGGATACTGAAAAATCTTAAAGTGGATAGACTGTTTTTATTTACAATTATAACAGTAGGGTCTACTCGGGAAACATTCAGTTACCTCAATTTGTTGAAAGAAGCATAAAAAATATATAATTATTTTAAAAAGTTGACAATTCTAGTGTTAATATTTTGGCGGGAAATTTGAAAAGTACCTTTTTTTAGCAGACTATATCTCAAAAACGAAGCAGAATTTGAAGAGCATTTATAGTGAATTATAACTTTATTTTTGACCCGAGAACATCAGTACGAAATTTCGTTACACCCTGTATTTTGAACTCTTCACAAAAGTAAAAAGATCATTATTATTGATTAAGTTGATAAATACTTAAGTTTATAAGCTGAAGAATAGTGAATTTCTGTAAAGACTATACGTACAGAATTTTTTTTTACTGTAATTGAGTAGCCTAATTGAAAAACTCTAAATAAAATTAGTGCCACATAAACTGCCATCCAAATCGTTTAACTTTTATTCAAGTACATAAACATGCAATTAAATTACGAAATGAATTTCAAAATTTATATTTATTATTATAAATAATCTAGGAATCTTATAAATCTACATTCTTACAGTATCGTTCTAGAAAAATTTTAATAGAGTATAGTATTTTATTTCATTAAATTATGTACAATATTGAAAGTGAATTCGAAATAAATTATTGGAGACATACACGAAACGTATTTCGTAGAAAAATTCTAATTTATGCCATGAAGTAAATATAAATGCAGTCAAACTTCGATATAGCACATTTTAAATAGTGTCTCCTTCATAAAGTGCCAGTAAGTGGTTGTATTCCAAATGAATCGTCCAAAAAATATTATCCGAAATAAATAATTCTTCAGTATTTTTGAATTACTAAATGTACGATTTTGTATTGAAAATGGCCAAATCACAAAATTTTCAAACTCAAACTTCAAACTTTCTTTTGGATCTCCGTTACTCTAAATAATTCACATTGCTTCAGGTATTTCAATTTAGTGCCATACTAAATTTAGTGTCAATTTCAAAATTTTATTTAAAATATTATATAGAATTTTATATATAAAATTTTCGATAAAATATTAACCCAAGACGTGTAAATATAAATCTATTCCTTTATTCATGAATTGTTTCATGCTTTAGACAAAAATCTTACTTCGTGACATTGCTATAGCCCTAAAGACGTATAAGAAGAAATAAGCACACTTTAGTGACAAAACAGATGCCCATATTCTTGAGTTTGGAATTCAAAATATGTTTTTTTTTATACTTTTTTGGAGACATTTTTGTATCTCCTCTTTATTCTATAAGAAACATCGGTAAATAATATGAAAATGACAGTCTAGTAATTTTGAATTTTAAGGCTTATTTATAGACCTTATTTATATAAGGTCTATAAATAAGCCTTATTATATTTATGAATGTTTGGAATATCATAAAATCATTTATAGACTGTGATTATAAATCTAAATAGTTCTAAATAAATTTATAATCACTTATAAATTTATTTGAAACTATTTAGAATATAGAATTTCATGAGCGAAAATATCTGTTATTTTAGAAAATAAGCATAAATATAGCTTTAATTAAAATAAATCTTTAAAACATGCAAAGATAAAATACAGCAATAAGTGAAAAACAGGAAATGTAATGATTATGAAAATTTATTTCACCTAATTTGTAAATTATACTCATCGACAAAAAACTTTTGCAGCAAGGACGTTTTTGAATAAAATGAAATTTTATTAGCGCGAACATAATGACGACAGTAATAAGTGATTACAATAACATTGCAAAGGGACAGTTTTTTGTGGAAAACGGACAATTTAAAAGTACTTTTAGTAACTTGTAAAACCTCCTCTTGTCTGGTTGCAGGTAGCAACCAGGTTATGGATGGTGACATACAGGCAATGTCAGTGCCAGCTCGGGGCAAGTTTTAGAATGGAGCGAGATCCTATTATGGCGCCCCCTTGGTTGCCCCTAATTTATACCCTTTAATTTTCTTTACCACTGAGGCACCCCCTAGGACTTTGCGCCTAGAGCGGCTGCTCCGTTCGCCCTATGGTAGGACCGGCTCTGGGCATTGTATGCTATCTTTCGATGAATTTGTCGACAGATGGCCGAAGCTGGCATTTGGTCTCATAAATGCTCGATGGGCGACAAGTCTGGAGATTGGGCAGACAACATATTTGTTGCTTTGCCAAGAAAAGTAACATATGAGGGCGCGTGATTTTATGAACATGTTACATTACATCGACAAAATATTTTCATGTTCTGTCAATGTCCCTCACAGGAGTAACTGACTGTCATAAAAGATGGTTCTCCAGACCAGCAGTGGGAGCAGTCTGACAAATTTGCATACACAGCGGTTACTATTAGCGGTCGTACCAATGATTCGAAAAGACACTAGATTCTTTTAGTGGCGATATGACAGCAGTGTATGACAGTGGGAATTTCACCTGTTTCTGGATGGAGAGAAGTGTGTATGTCTGACTGCATTTCACAAGCATATATGGTATTCAACGCCCTCCAAGCAATAGGCAAACTGAACATTCTGAGTCCAGTAAGCTTCTATGAGTGTTACAGGATACTAGGATAGCAAATTAAATCACTCTGGTGGAATTTACTGTCAGATAATCGAATCACAATAGCATTAACTTATATACCTGTCTGAGACATTGTTGTATGCCGAGTTTTGCAGTAATCAAACAATTCTATCTGGTGTAAACTTTGAGTGGTGAGGGTAGAAATTCAATTTTTTGGATTAAAATTAATATAATAAACTTGAAAAACCTTCATTTTTATATACATAGAAATATATATTTTTATATATATTTTATTTTATATAAGATTTCAAAAAATCTTATCATTCAATTTTCTGTACAGACTTATATATAGTGAAGGACTGAAGGATATTCAAAAGTTCTTGGTTTATGTACATGAATAGATATAACAGTTATTTATAAAATATACTATTACATAATTAATAATATTGCGCTTTTATAAGCTTTTTATATGTTTTAAAAATTCCATAATGTGTAAACTCCCAATTTGTTAATATAATGAATGATTCAATTTATTCCTTTAAGAGTACGGTATACTCTTAAAGGAATAAAAGGTATACTGTATAATTAAAATTCTCTGTTTTGCTTAAAATTAAATATCTGAATATTTTATCAAGGGTATAAATTTTAAATTATAATACAGTACACAAATTAGAATATTTATTTAAATCATGTTAAATAAAAGAAACATTAATGTTTTCTATTAATTAATTAATGGCAGCATCTGTCCAATAATGAATATACTGTATATTTTAAATATTCAATAATATAAATTTGTGTAGGCATGTAGAAAAATTTAATTATTCTTATTAGAATTATTTTTATAAATTTATGTAACCCAATATCAGCGTTATAATGTAGGTGATTTAATATTTATTTAATATATTAGAAATTTTAAATAATAAAACCCATAAAATAAATTCAAAAATATTTGTAATATAATGTATTTATAAAATGCATCTATAAATAAATAAATGCTTCAAATGTCTCAATCAATTTTATATTTTATTTTTTAAACAGAAAGGTACAAAAAATGCTCTAGAGACTGGTAGGACTTTTGCAACAATTTTTGCAGAAATGGATTTTCGAAGAAGATTGCTAGAAGTACATACAGAAGCAGAATTTAAAGCTGTATTGTTAAAACATGCACAAGATTTGGCAGCAGAACAAAGTCATTCTGCTAATAAACTTGCAAACGAAGAAGAAGAACAGGAAAATAATGTAAGAAATTTGTAAATTTAACATTTTTATTTAATTTTTCTAGTATGAAAGTAAATTTACAATACTAAAAAGCACAGTACATACATATAGGGTATATCTGAACTGGGTGTATCTTAGATATAGATTCTAAGGTAAAAAATAAACAAAATACACTATAAACGTCTTTCAAAATCTGCTTCGTTTTCGAAATATTGATTGCCAAAAATAATACTTTTTAATTCCCTGCCAAAGTGTGCCAGAGTTGTCATTTTTTTAAATTTTGTATCTTTTTTAATGATTCTGGCAAATGTTTGAGATAAGTAAATATTTCTTAAGTATGTCCTACTGTAATAAATATAAACAAAAACAAAGTCTTATCCACTAAGATTTTTCAGTATCCATCTGCTTTACAGAAAAAAAAAAAAACAACAAATAGCTGGAAAGTAAGTTTTTCAATATAAATTTGAGAAATATTTCGGTTTAAAAAAATTATACAGAATAATTTACAAGAACTGCTCAAAATGTCCAGCCACTAGCGCAAACCGACTAGCATGTATTCAAAAGAACAATTTTTAACATTAAAAGTAAAACGCTTTGTTTTTACCTGTTTGTAACAGGTGTGGAAAAGAAACAGCGGTATGTTTTTGGCAGGAGGTTTAAAATTAGTTTCTGATATCATTTTGGCAGATATCTCGATCTTGAAAAAAAAAAACGTTTATAAACGATTTTAGACCTATTTTTAATCTTATAATCTAGAATCTGCCCTGAAAATATGGACACCGAGTCAGTTACACCGTGTATATTTAAATACACTGGTCATTATTTATACAGTGACCAATAAAATTTTATTGGTATATATATATATGTACAGTAGAACCTCGATTATCCGGACTAATTGGGGATGAAGGTAGTCCGGATAAGGAAAAATCCGGATAATCGAAACAAATATTTTAATTTGTCTTTTAATGATAATACAACACGTTTTCTTTTCGATGACATATCGGTAATATTAAAAGTAAATACTGTATTTAAATCGTGATCAAATTTTCAAGAAACAAACGTTNTCTTTTCTGAATATAGCTTACAGAATTACTGATTCAGCCATTCAACAAAAGAATCGTGTAAGCAAATTATTTAATAATTTACTTATAACTACAATGCAATGTCCAAGCGATAAACTCATTGAGCGACCATCTTAGATTTTGACCTTAATTCATAGCGAACGGTTATCTCACCGTCTCTAGGTAAAATTTACTCTATACTGATAATAATAACTATCATAATTGTAGACTAGTCTCAAAGTGATTACAATAAACAATGCCTGCTGTACATATTGTATATATTGGTGTCTGTTGACTATGTTAGTGCTAAGTCACTGAATAGAATTAATAGCTCACAAGTTACAAAGTGTAATTCATTTTTATTTATAGAATGAAATTTTAGTGTTTTCTAAATCAGGTTACGCTTCCCGATCTTGTGTTTTTTATTTAAGTTACATCAAACACAGTTAAATGACTAATAAAATTGATTATAAAAATTTAATCATTATTCTAACTCTTTATGCATTACTGCACAACAATGTATATTATACTATACTGCATCACTGCACAATAATATATAGGATATAGGCCCTATACAAGTAAAATAAACGTTTATATAAATACAGCCTACCCCCTATAACACTGTTGATTATTCCGTTTTATATGAATTCCATGTTGTACGAGTCACTTAGATTTTACAAATACGTGTGCCGGGTTGTGAACGGCTCACGTATTTGTAAAATCTAAGTGACTCGTACAACATGGAATTCATGTAAAACGGAATAATCAACAGTGTTATGGGGGGTAGGCTGTATTTATATAAACGTTTATTTTACTTGTATAGGGCCTATATCCTATATATTATTGTGCAGTGATGCAGTATAGTATAATATACATTGTTGTGCAGTAATGCATAAAGAGTTAGAATAATGATTAAATTTTTATAATCAATTTTATTAGTCATTTAACTGTGTTTGATGTAACTTAAATAAAAAACACAAGATCGGGAAGCGTAACCTGATTTAGAAAACACTAAAATTTCATTCTATAAATAAAAATGAATTACACTTTGTAACTTGTGAGCTATTAATTCTATTCAGTGACTTAGCACTAACATAGTCAACAGACACCAATATATACAATATGTACAGCAGGCATTGTTTATTGTAATCACTTTGAGACTAGTCTACAATTATGATAGTTATTATTATCAGTATAGAGTAAATTTTACCTAGAGACGGTGAGATAACCGTTCGCTATGAATTAAGGTCAAAATCTAAGATGGTCGCTCAATGAGTTTATCGCTTGGACATTGCATTGTAGTTATAAGTAAATTATTAAATAATTTGCTTACACGATTCTTTTGTTGAATGGCTGAATCAGTAATTCTGTAAGCTATATTCAGAAAAGATTATTATTTTAATGTTTTTTAATGACTCATTGTTAACACGTGAATGATCTGTACAATCTTTCATATATAACTTAATCATTTAGAAGATAAATGACAAACTACTTTACAGTTTCAACAGAAAAATATTTCATGCTTCTAATATAAATATATATGAAAGTATGTGAAGATAAATATTTGGCTTCAAAAAATTATTACATACCGAAATTACCGATGCAATTTTTAACTGATTACAGGTAATTCAATCCATAATCGGAATTGCTCACGTAACTCTCATATTACATCATGTCAACTGCCCGTCTGCTTTTTTCATTTCAGGATCTGGTCACCACACGTATCCACCCTCAAAATTAATTGACCCCTTAATTGAACTAAAAAATAATATACAGCATGGGGTACTGAACATTATGTTATTTTATTAATTACATACAGTACAAAGCAGTGACGTAAACAGTAGGGTTGTTTTTTCTAGTACTTATGAAACTAGGCCGGATGGCCCAGCGGTCAAGGTGGCAGCCTACCGTTCTGGAGGACCCAGAATTGAATCCGGATGGGTCAAAGAATCCCCAGGAATTTTTCAGGGATGGTCCGTTCGGATATGTCGGACTCACCATCCGGTCTCCCCATTGTGGGCCTGGCCGAACCCATGATAGGCCTGCTTTAACAGGCCCTCTTAGTGCCCACAGGGCAGAAAGAGTAAAAAAAACATACTACTTATGAAACTGTACCGGTAATTGTTATGCAACTTGAACATCAACTATTGATATATAGTTGGTGTTCAAGTTGAATAGGGTTTTTTTTAATTATTTCCACCCTGTAGGTACTAAGAGGGACTTTTAGCAAGCCCATTAACAGCAAGGCCACAATGGGGCCAGGTCCACAATGGGGCGGCCGGATGGTGAGGGACGGGGCCCGACATATCCGGACAGACCACCCCCTGAAAAATTCCTGGGGATTATTCGACCCGTTCGAATTCGAGCCCGGGCCCCCCAGAGCAGTAGGTTGCCATCTTGACCGCTTGGCCATCTGGCCCTACAAACATTTGGCTAATACCAAATAGTGTGGATGCTTTATTTGTGGCTAATATTCGATTTTTGCCAATTCGATGGGCAATCATTAGGCATTCAGCAAATATTGAATGTTTGGAGCTGCCTTTAAACTTAATTGGCAAAATATAGATCACCTATATTTTGCCAATTAATTGATCACGGATGAATCTGATTTTGATTGATCATGTGAGACATTTTGCGATGTTTATTCTTTTATATGTGTATATTTCTTACACGTTAGTCTTTGGTCTTCTTAACTAAATAATCAGAATTTTTGCAGTTCGTGCAATTTTGATTTAAAAAAAAAAAAAAACTGTCATTATAGTCATAACATAGCTATTCATTCCATTTATGAGTTTGCTACTATGAATGATGTGGATATTGCTACTATTCTTTCTTTAAAAATTTCATTTCTTTCTTCCAGTACTTTGTATACCAGTATTTGTTTTTATGTTGAATTTTTATGGTGTTTAGTTAATATTAGGATCAATGAAGCTCCTAATTTTTACATTAATTTTCTTCATTCATATTAAAATTTTTGAAAAAAAAAACAAAAAATAGCCATTAGTTCTATACAGTATTTTCTTTTCCTCAATTTTACGTCATTGTTTGCTGAAAGTGTAAAAAAAAACCCTGAGCATTAATGAATACAATAAAGATAAAACAAAATTTGAAAATACAAAGATCCAATTTAATGAAAAATTAATTTTGGGTATTAATTAAACAAAATTTTTATTTAAATACAAAAAATAGCCATTAGTTCTATACAGTATTTTCTTTTCCTCAATTTTACGTCATTGTTTGCTGAAAGTGTAAAAAAAAACCCTGAGCATTAATGAATACAATAAAGATAAAACAAAATTTGAAAATACAAAGATCCAATTTAATGAAAAATTAATTTTGGGTATTAATTAAACAAAATTTTTATTTAAATACTGTATATTACTTATTGAAAAATAATATACAGTATTTAAATAAAAATTTTGTAAATATAATATGAAAAAATGTAATAAATTAAAATTTATATTAANAGGTTAAGTCTTAATCCTCTCCCTCTCCCCCACAGAGGGAATTTCCAAAAATCCCTTCTTAGTGTGAATTCTCATGGCATACCCTAATTGTGTATCAAATTTCACATCTAGGTTCAGCGGTTTGCTCTGGGTGGAGGTGAATCATTCAATCAGTCGGTCAGGACATGTAATTTTATATATATAGATGTTTATATAAAAAGTCTACTAACTGAATTATTTTAACTAAAACCAGAAGATTGCTGAATTCAGGCTAGAATATTATAACTATATAATTAAGCAGATCATCTGGTTTTAAGTAATAAATCTTTATATTTTTTTAATTGTTTTAATATATCATTTTAATGTCAGAGTCAATAAAACCAGAATTTCCACTAATTGTAGTCTCATTTACTTTACTCCACTTATTATTATCAGTGTGAGCAATTCTCAAAGTGATTACAATAAGCTAATTCTGCTGTAGTGTTTTATCATTCATAAAAAATAAACATTTGATTAAAGATGAAATTCTGGAATATTATGTTTTCATCTTAATATTCAGAAGTGTCTCCTTCAAAGAGTGAAGGTCACTGTGATTGTTGATGGTGATGTGTACTCAGATCAATAAACTATAACCTTTAAGTAGTCTCTTCCTTAATATTTGAAAAATAACATGTTTCATATTCTCTTTGAAAAATAAATGACTATGAAAGATTAATTTAAATATTAAATTTTGACTAATCTGTAAAGGGAAAGTTGTCTTCACTTAATATTTCAGATTATATCTTGATAATTCCAACTGAATTATTATTTTTTTAATTTTAAAGCTAACATTAGTTGTCATCTCCAATAAAAATTAATTTAGCTAAGTTTCTTTTTTCATAATACTTTTTGAAGTTATTTTTCTATAAATTCAATAAGCTCATAAAAGTATACCTTGAGTGCATCTCAATCTTCTGTAAATGCAATTAAAGACTATCATCTTAAAGAGTTAAAATTTTAAGATATTCTTGGACCAGATTTTTGAAATTGCTTCAGAAATGTCTTAAATTCACAATCTGCAAGATTAATATATTGAGATTCTACAGACATTCATCTATTGGAATTAATTAAATTGATATAGCCATTTCATTCATCCACTAATATGCTAATTTAAAGAATTGTTTAAACAATATACAACAAAAATACACAACGTTTAGGTTCTAACAATATTTAAATCACAAATGTTTTCATTAATGTTAAATGACTATCATAAGGAAAAATTTCAAAGAACAAGATAATCACAATTATTGGAATTCCATTTAAAAATTTTGACATTAAAATTTTATTGGTTACAGGTGTTTACTGATGATTTACTGATGTAATTTCAAAAATCAGTTGTTAATGAGAAAGGTGGCATATACACATACATATACATACATGACATATACTTCAAATGAGTGATAACTGAAACTGAGTCTCAGTGGAAGAGATTTATTCTAAGAGATTATTCTAAAGATCTCATTAGATTTCATAGAACATTCTCCATGTATATGGAAGGGAATTAGTATCTTATATATAACTGCTTTAGCATTTAAAGCTGTTTTATATATCTCCAGTTGCTTTATTCATTTTACAAGGTCAAAGTCACATACCTATATCACCTTTGTCCCTTGAAAGTCTATCTCCATGACATCTTCCATTGCATCAGCTGATAAAACTGTTACTGATTATACTTTTTCATGATATGCTGGTGCTCCTTTATCCTTGTCTTGAGAGAGTGCACAGTGGCCTAGATGTACTTTAGTTTGGTGTGAGTAATCCTTTATTGGAATGCAGTATAGACCTGGGGCCATATTCTGGTCACTGTCTCTGGTCTCTCAACTCCCACAAGCCGGTCGCTGATTGGTTAATCTAAATGATTAGCCAATCAGCGACCAGCTTGTAAGAGACGAGAGACCAGAGACAGTGACCAGAATACGGCCCTTGGATAACTTTATAGAGCAATTGGACTTTTGTTCCTAAACAGGTGACTAAGGCCACTCAACAATAAACAGCAGTTTTTAGACTGTTGTTTATTGTTGAGTGGCCTTAGCCACCTGTTGTATAATGCCTTAAGCACACTGTTTTATGTAACCACCTTGAAATTATTACCAATCTCTTATGTTTATCAGTATCATGAATTTTGGGGTATCTTTTCAATAAGTATGCCATCTTGCTAGGAACATACTATATGTGCTTGGTCATTAACCTGCTAATGTAGTCAAATTATTTCCATCTGTCAATTATGTCAGTACAGTATGTTAGAGCTCTTCTAAGGCTTGAAAGGCCACCCTTTTAAATTGATTGAGATTCATTCAGGATGAAGAACTACTTGTATGCAGATTTCTTATAGACTGGTGGAGAAGTTGACCTTGAATCTGATATGGATGTCCAAGAAGTGCAATGTATGGTCCATGAAATTTGTTTTACTTTTTCATTATTACTAAGGTGTAACAAATCAAGTGGAAAGAAAGGGAAATTGAATATAAGGAAATATAAGGACGAGGAAAGGATAATAGGGTCTCTGTGCCAAATGTCTGTGTGAAGTGTTCTTTGCATAATAAGTCATGTATGGTTTCCCTCTGTTTTTGAAATACCAGGATTTTAGTACATTTCATCAAGTATAATATTTCAAATTATTACATTCCATATACAAATACTTATGAATTTTTTAAGAAATAAATGTGTATCTTTAATTCATGAATATTCTAATTAATGGTACTTGCAAAGTAATGATTATTGATCAAACTAATATTAATAAAATGAATACAGTAAACAATACAATATTTTAATATTAATGTATCTTTCATTAATAGTTAATTGAAGATAAACTTTTTTTTATCATTAATGAGATGCATTTTTGTTAGTACCATGCATTTAATTTTAATTATGTATAGTGCATAAATATGCATATTTATATATAAGTATATGCACATAAAAATTGGAACATATTTGCTATATGATTAATTAACAATAATATAATCACAGAAAATTAAACAACATTTAATTTACAACATTTTTCTTTAACAAAGTTGAAAGGAAAATTATACATTAGCAGAAATGTGTGGCTGCAGAGCGTGTTTATTCTGAAGGTAGTCTTCTATATATACTTTTGAATGTTTCATATATAAAATACATTCATTATATTAGTTAATTATGTTTCAAAAACAAAATATATATATATTTTGTTTCCTTAAACAATGTATCCTTGAAATAAATAAATATTATTTATTTATTATAGTATTATAAATATATTATATTAATATTAAATGTTATTTCCTTTTTAGCTTATTAGAAGTACAAACAATATTTATTTATTTCAAGGATACATTGTTTTATTTGTTAAAGGATCAAAAAGTATAACTGATAAATATGCTGTTAATGAAATTATACTTTACATTGTAATCATGATAGCCAAATCCTACATTATACTAAGTCAAATAATGCTCTTTCTTTAGTAATTTTGAAATAATTTCAGCCATACTGATTTCAGTTTCTCAATGCATATTTAACAAAAATAAGTCTAATCAATTTTCATTCATATTTCAAAGAAAATTTTTAAATGACAAATAGTTAGAAATTTCATTGAAAGCTATATCCCTATAGCTACTGGGAGAGTGACAAATATTTTCAGTAATTAATAAATATATCAACTCTCCTATTTTGAATTTCTTAATAGGAGTCTGAGTTCTGTTGACATCTCTGGCTATATCAGTGCACTTGAAACAAAAAGTTAAATACAGTGGAACCTCGGTATATGACCTTAATCCGTTCCTGATGTTTGGACTTATACCGAATAGGACGTATACCGAACCAACCTTTCCCATAAGAAGTAATGCAAAAATGATTAATCCGTTCTCATGAAAAAAAAATGGCTGGCTTTAAACACCTCGTTTTCCTGGCTAGTTCCTGTTTGATTTTTCATGAGATCAGCATGTATCTTTTTAGCTTTCTTGCAAATAATTGCTTCTGATACACTGTCTCTGGCATGCTGTTTTTCAGTTATCCAAAGCAAAAGCAATTTCTTAACATGTTCTAATGTCTTCAATCTCTGTTTAGAAATTGATTTAACCTTTTTTGTGATGTTAGCAGATTTAATAATGTCTTTATTTTTCACGATTATCGATATCATCGTTCTCGGAATACGGTATGCAACAGTTAAATCTCGAACATGCGTGCCACCTTCATATTTCTCAACAATCTCTTTTTTCAGTTCCATTGTGATTCTAGTCATTTTTTTTATTTTTCTGTTGCCTTTTTGCGATTCATGATTAATAAAAGTAATAAAATGTTACTTACAAATTAAAATCAGAAGAAATTTAACAAAGTTATAAACGTCTAGTCTGGTCTAGTACACCGATAGTGCTACTTGTTTGTAGATGGCGCGTATAATTGAATTAAGTCGTATACTGAGCAAACTTTGTTTCCGAATTGGACGTATTCTAAAGCAGACGTATACTGAGGTACCACTGTATATTTCATAAATATTTTATAAATGAGACTTACCTTACACTATCACCACCATATCCTGAGACTGTGTATTTTATAAAAGTCCATTTTTATTTAATTCCAATACATATTATTTGCTGGATGACAATGTGTATGGTGTGTAGTTTTAATTTAATATAATGTATTTTAGGTTAAAATGTTTTTGGTTTCATTAAGGAATAATTTGTGTTTTTAAAACTGAATTTCTTATTTTCTTGAATGTGGTTTTCATCAGAAAATAAAAATTAATACTCACAAATATTTAATACATTTATGAATTAATGTTATTTCTTAATAATTACAATACAAATCAAATAATAAAGGCATTTTTATGAATTTGTCTTCTTTAGCAAGAGCCAAGATGTTGGTTTGCCCGTGGATTATATGTAGATATTCGTAATTGTCTAAGAAATTATATCAGTGACTACATCGATGGTAAGTTAAGTCATTTCAAAATTTCTTAAGATAATTTTAATTATACAATGGATTGTATCTTTAATTAAATTTTATCTCTGGAAAACTAATTCTCTATATAGATAACCATGATGGTAATTGGATTCAGTTTTAGGAATAAACATCGATGGTAAGTTAAGTCATTTCAAAATTTCTTAAGATAATTTTAATTATACAATGGATTGTATCTTTAATTAAATTTTATCTCTGGCAAACTAATTCTCTATATAGATAACCATGATGGTAATTGGATTCAGTTTTAGGAATAAACAAAATTTTGAAATTTAATTATACAGTATAATCTTGATAATTTGATTGTTTTCTAGTTCAATACATCCATTAATCTGACTCTCAAGTTATTACTGACACTGTTCAAAAATTATAGACAAGCTTCCCACTAGTTTAAAATCCAGTTTCATTAATTCTCAATGTGTTCCTGCTAAACTTGAATTTGAACACTCAAGCTTCGGCATGGTATTAAAAATTATTAATCTCATCATTATTTGATGTTCAAAAAAGGTACAGTATCTTATAACATAATATTTTGTAAATATAAAAATCAATCCCCTGAAATTTCTTACCAAAAAATACTGTACCTTCCACTAAATTTCCCATAATTGCTTCAATTTCCCACTGAATTTAATGGAAATACACCAACTTGGCAACATTGATTACTGATGATGGCAATACACTTGAATGGTTTGATCAGTAGTCCAATTTGTGTTTTGCTGCATCATTAACAGTTGATTCCATACTGTTAAATTCATTTTATCTGTCATTGAATTCATCTTACTTCCAATAATCTGGCAATCTTCTTAATCTAACACTGATCTCATCTCACATATGTTGAATTACCAAGATTGTACTATATGGTTATAATCTCTTATTTATAAATTTAGTAAATTGTCATAAAAAGTTGTAAATAAATAAATACAGTAGAATATTTTACACAAGATTAATATAAGCAGATTTGTGTTTTTGCAAACAAGAATGCAAAATAGAAATAATTCTAACTATAAATGATATACTATCTATTTTTATTACATAATTCATTATGGAGCAAAAATAGTAGTATAAAAATTAGAAGCACTTTCTTATAGTCTATTTTCGAAAAAAATTATCAAGATGAAATGAAAATAGAAATTCAGACATAAATCAAGCAGAAAAAAGCTGTGTAAAGTGAAACCACATTGGGAGGGAGCATCTGTTGTTTCTTAGGCTGGTTGTGTAAAATTATTAGGCTTAAGTAAATATGATGAGTTCTTAAAGAAATGCATCTAGTGACAGAGAAAGGTGTAAAAAGATCAGAAAATGCAGCTTCTAGATAAGTTTCAAGGTTTTGCATTTGCAACCATAGTTCACTTGTTTAGTGTCAACAAAAGCATTGTATACACAGGGTCAGATTTACAGGTGGGTATTCTTGGCCAGTGGTGCCCACAGACTATAAAAAAGAGCCTTATATATTTTGCAAGTTTCAAAGTGTGATTCAACATCAGATCAGTGCTCTCACAAACTGGCACTAGTTGCAATCAGGGCTAACTTGGCCTTGAAAACAAGGAATATTTCTTGTTTTCAAGGCCACGTTTTGATCAACATACAATAAAGTTACATGGGATAATGGACAAATATCATTCATTAGTTTCTTTTATATTTGTGGAATAGGCTAAAAGTCATGAATTTTCTGTTGTTTGTTGATAATGGAATTTGGGCTTCTTTTGGAGATTAGGCAAACAACAACCCAGATTAAAAGGGGACACCTGCCACAGGTGCTCCAATGTATGTGTATCCTGGGCCCCACCCATAAATCTTGGGCCTTCACAAAAACAAGACAATAAAAATAAATGAAAATAAAAAAGAAAGAAATGAAAGAAAGAAAGTAAGGAATGATTCAATGAAACAAAATACAGCAGGCTATATTAATAAATACTATAAAATGTGGCGGTAGAATTGGCAAGGCCATTAGTTGCTACAGGGGTGTCCATTACCATGAGTGGTCTGGGCTTTAACATAAATCCATCTGTGATGACACATAAAAACAAGAAACTGACATGTAGTGTAAGCTGTAATTCATAATGCTAAATATGTGAGTTATGTGTATTATAAAGTGATGTTAAAAATGGAGGAATGCATTGCTCATTTAGATTAAAGATCAACACAAGAGAAACCCATTGTGGATTTTAGTATGATTTTTTGTCATCAAACTTTAAAACAGACTTAAACAAACTTTCACAATCAGTAGCATTGCAAACACCACTTTTATTTCCAGAAAAGGCTGGTTCCAGAACTTCAAAAGCACTAAGCAATGTAAAGGTTATGAGGGAGTTCACTTCAACTGACCATGAAGCTACTAAGATCTTTCCTACACAAATGAAGAACTTGTTGATGAAAATGGATGTTAACCTGAACAGATTCTCATTGTTAATAAGGTAGCATTGTTTTGTAAGAATAGTTTATTCCAAAACAATGCTACCTTAGCACACCTGTAAAGACTGTACTACACTTGCAGTAATACATCAGGCTACATGATAAAGCCTGGTCTATTTTACTGAGTGCAACATCCAAGATATCTTAGAGGACATAAACAAGAATATTGCCTGTGATTAGATGTGGAACAAGAAAGCTTGAATGACAAAGAATCTCTTTTTTTGAACTGTTTCTACCATTTCTTCAATCCTGAAGTCAAAGAATACATACATGTATACAAAGAATACATGGAAGAAAAACGGTTTCCATTTAAAATCTTTCTTGTGCTAGATAATGCACCATAAAACCCAAGGAGATTTGCAAATGATGAAATAGAGGTTGTCTCTCACCTAATACAACATTCTTTATCAGGATAGTTAGATCCTTTAAGGTCAGTTACATAAGATGTATTGATCACATTGTGGAGGCCTTGGACAATGGAGACATACTAAGTTTTATTCAGTTTTAGAAGGGCTTTACCATAGCTAATAGTCTCTTCCTAATAAAATATGCACTAAAGGACATCAAAGACAAATGTGCAACTGTTGGAAGAACTCAAGGCTGTGAACAATATCACTTCAGATAAACTGATCATCATAACATAACTTCAGAAAAATATCATTACAAATGTATATCTTGATAAAATCAATGTAAATATAAAGGAGTTAGTCAGGATAATTGGTGGCATATGGTTTGAAGACTTGGAAGAGGAAGACATCAAGGATGTCTTCCTCTTCCAAGTTAATTGACAGGTAAACAATAGTATTAACAGATGAGTCTGGAAGAGCTTATTTTTCAAATTCTGAGGGTGAGAACAAAGTTGAAGAGGATCAATTCCAAAAGAAGAAATGCAACCTGGAAAAAATTGAGTTTCTTCTCTCATCTTGCACAGGCAATGTGTGATTCTAACTAAACACACACACTTTTTTTATAAATATGCTTAACAATCTGATTCATGCAATGAATTTTAAGGAAACTTAAAATATTTTCCTTAAATTGTAATGAAAACGTATTACACACTGTAATCAATTATGTTCATGTTGACATAATCAAACTAAATGATTTTTAAACAGAGCTAGAGTAGTCTGGGTGAGGATGTTGCACTTCTGTATATGAATGCAACAACAGATGTCAAATGACTTTATTGTTAAACTAGTTTTGTCTTTGTCTTTTTCATTAGAGAAAGAAAACATGTTTTCCATGTTATGCTATATATAATGTGTGAACTATTATCCCTTTGTGTATGTGTTTTCAATAAAGAAATTGCCATGAAACTCATTTTGACTCCATTATTTTCAACAGTTGAGAGAATTAAAATAAAACAAGTAGCAGCTTTCTATCACTGTGTTCATCCAAAAAAAAAAAAACAACCATATCATTGACACTAGGAATGCTATATGCTCTTAGTGCCACTGAATCTACCGCTTAAGTCTATGCAAATCATGCTTCTCCATCTTCTGACATTCCAAACACAGAGAACTACTGAATGATAACCATTGTAACGAGTATTCTAGTTTCCATTTAGTGTTCTTGAATAGTGTACTTAATACAATATAATAAAATTTTGCTCTATATATTCAGAAACATCGTAAAAAAATAAAATGTTATTCATTATAGTAAAAACATAAATAAAGTGTTTTAAATACATGCATCATGTGCTTATTACTTACAGATTTTATAATAAACAGAAAAATGTTAAGTGTCTAGACAATCATCTAGGATTACTTGGAATGGAAAAAAATTTACACAGAATTTCATTTTATGCGATAGTGCTGACATGCAACCCCAAATAAAGCAAGCCATACTGTATGTTTTCTCTAAAAATTTAAAATGCATGTTTATTTTCTGTAATTACTGTATTCAAATTCAAAAAATCAAATTAAATATTGGGATAAATAATGTAACTGTGAATATTTAGTTAATTCAAAATTTAATGTCATAAGTACTGATATCAAAATCATATTTTGTTTTTGTAATCAGAAAAACTGTCCATAATGTTTTGTTCTTAGTAACAAAGCCAGAATCATATATTTTTAATGTTAAATACTTGCAAAAATAAATTATAAAACAGAATTTTAATAAATTATTGAAATATAACAGGAATAATATATGTGACATATCCAGAAATTAAGTTTCAATTGACGTTTTTAGTATTATTTCTACCCTGTGGGCTTTTATTAAAATCCATTGTGGTTTGGCAATGGGTGGTAATGGACAGAGTCAAACATATCCAGGACAGACCATTCTTAATTGGACCACCCAGATTTGATCTTGAGCACCCAAAGCAGTAAGCTGATGCCTTAGTCATTTTGGCCATCAAGCTAGTAAGTTCCAACTGATTAGAAAGGAACACAATCTTCTTTGTACATACATTTATCATCATAAGAAAATACATAGTTAAAACTATTTTTCAACATATTCACGTTTGAGGTTCAAACATTTGTTATAGTGGAATATTTTGCAAACTCTCATAAAAATGCAGTTCTTTATTATTGTTGAATTATTCCAAACATTTCTTCAAATGCAAAAACAGGCAGAAGTGCTACATCAGAACTATATGGTGAGTGTTCAAAAATTTGCTACTTTAACATTTTCATCAGTTTCTGTATGCTATGAATAGAATGTAGCCATGCACTATGAATTCTGAAGCAAAATCACTCCAGAGCTCAACAGGCCACAATTTTTTATTTAATAGCCAACCATAATTTTTTCATGGTATAATAACTATCAGCATTTATTGTTGCTCTACAGCAATGAAGAGCTACAGAACTGTGAGAGTTTGCAAAAGCTTATCTGTTGCTATGACAAATGTCTAAACTTCAAAGGTGATTTACTCATATATGTCGCTGTAATTTGAGAAAAATTGTAAACACATAAATTTCCACTGTCATCCGTGTCTGTCTGTCCTTCCTTAAGCTTGAGAATGGAGTTAGACAGATGAAAGCCGAGACCAAATATGTAAAGCTTAAGTGCAGGAGGCCCAGGTTAACTATATATGAACTTATGATGCAAAGTAGAAGTCATGTTATTTCAATTCAGAAATTTCCCATGAAAGTGTTAGATAGATGACTAGCACAATTCAATTGCTATAGAAAAAGTATGATGACAGGGGCAAGACACTACTAATTTGAAGGTGGAGAGCATATACTTTAAATTAAATAAATTAAACAATATGATTAAAAATTGCAGCCCAGAATTGTGAAAATGTCACAATAAAATAACTGCTTCTGCTTATAGTGTTTATTAACTATGAATTTTATTTCGAAATTTAATATTTAAAAATTTTACATAAAGTGCCTATCTAACTGCAGTGATATGATACATGATATATTACTAATATTAGAATATGTACTTTTGAAGTTATTATTTAACATTGTTTTTTTCTTAGAAATGCTATATAAATAAAAGCACATTCTTTATTATATGTAGAATCATAATTTCAGTATCTGTGATGAATCTTTTTCAATTTTTTCATAATTTATTGTAAAAGAAATGAATATTTTAAATTATAGTAAAGTTTAACTTCTATACAAATGTTGATACATAAGGTTGAAATTGAAATGTATAAATATTTTTAAAATTAATTTCAGGTTTTGTTGGTCATAAGACAATCCACAAAACCACATCAACTATTTTCTTCTTATATTTTGCTTGCATCCTTCCAACTATTGCCTTTGGTGCATTAAATGATAGTAATACACATGGTAAAATAGGTAAGTAAACCAATTATTCATAATTAAATTGTAATAATTTCAATTTATTCCAATATATTATAAATATAATATTAAATTAATAAATATTGATATTAATATATGATTTTGTTTCAATATACACTTGCACAATTTACAGTAGAGGAATTTTACTTTGTTGAAGTAAAATTTTTATTTGTTATGTGACCAGCAGCTAAGATCTGACTACAACTGAGCAACATAGAATCATCTAGTGGCTTTTAAATAAGTAATTAGAGATTGAAAACATCACTCGTGAACTGATAAAGCAACATTTAATTACTGAACTAACTTAATTCTACAGATACATACATAGTTCAATACAAAGGATTATACTGGAAATCTTTATTAATTCAAACTTGGATAGTTCAAAATCCCATTAATTCATACTTGTATTGTTTGTCCTGACCGGGGATTTAGAGGGTTATATGTTAAGGAATTCAGTTAGTTTGAAATATGGCTACTTTGAAATTTGAAGTAAGAATTCTGTCTGAACTCTGATATGCATATATTAACTTGTATATTTCAATCAAAATTTACATGCCTACATACTATAAGAGAATAATAGACCATGAGCAACTTTAATCTGGTCAACATGGCTATGTTTTTACAGTAATGCATTTTTGGGTGTCAGCTTATTAAGCAGATATAAGTCTTCCTACTAACAGCCACTTAGCACTAACTTCCACACTTACAAGTTAGTAGTGATTGCATTACCGATAATTAATTTTTTTACCATTATTTCGGTTTAAAAAACCTCTTAATTAACTCGATATTTATTTTCCTAAAATTTCCATGGGAAATACCCGTAGGAAACAGATATTTTTTGTTCCCCCATACCATAGCAAGAAAATAATGCAAGTGGTGATAGGCAATGTTCCCTCTAATTTTTTTTTGTGGATGAGCGGAACACATATTTCTCTGAGCAAAAAAAGTTTTTACTGAGCAGATTCTGAGCAAAAAATTTTTCTGATTATATATATATGATCAGAAAAATTATATATATAGCCTATATATAATCTTATTTTTTCTATAAAAATTAAAATAATTAATTATAGAGATTAAAATTAATTTTAAAACATACTTTTATACAAAATATTATCTCTTGTCAATGATTTAATGTGTTTAATTGAAATATACATAGCAATAATCATGTTGCAGACAGAGTGAGAAATAAGTAAACAATTCAAATCGGTGTGCATGCTCGCCTGCGCGGCACATAAATTCTCGTGCGCGGCAACAATTTGAGCAGTGCGCGGCCGCGCAGCTTAGAGGGAACATTGGTGATAGGTCATTCCATTTGTAATTTAAGGTTATTAAAAGGAATTTTCTAGTCTCTTTATAACTTGATTGCCTGTATTATACTCCAAAAATGGGTCTTGATTTTGGAGCATATACAGGAAAATAACCCAGAAAATTGAACAAATATAAGTTATACGAAATATCCAATAATGTTAACAAAAATATAATTTTGAATGGGATTGTAGAAACAATCAAGCACTTATCACAAAATGAAAACAAATTATGACCTGCAGATGTCACTAAAATTAGTTCAGACTCAGATTCTGGTGAGAGGTATTCATTGCTTACTACACCATCAACTTCTCACATCGACACGAGTACAAAGTGCACAATGGAAAAGTCAAATTTAACAATGAAAGAGAAACTAGATAATTTATTAAACATAAAACGAGTGTAGACACTGATAACAGTAATATAAGTAAGTTTAAAAGTGTGAATAGTGTTACCACCTGTCCGGTTTTCACCTGGACAGTCTGGGAATTGACTCACTGTCCGGGTGAACTATTAATTTTGTCTGGGAATTTTGTAGAAATTATGAAATTACGATGAAACAACGACTGAAGTTGTACAAATTAAGATGAAACAAAGTTCTTGCAAATATTTTTACAAATTTACACTATTTTAACAGCGAAAGAACTGAGACTCACTGAAACTCATCTGCAATTCTGCCATGTTAGTCTGTTTATGCCGACGTGTGGTGCGCGACCTGGTGACCTTTTATTTTTTTGCCATGTACAATCGTACACGTCTCCAATATCGAATAGAGCTAAATCATCTGTACCTGTTCTTTCTTAATTTAGGGTTACTTATGTTACTCCTACACAAGTACCTAGTCCCTAACTGTAACTGATTTAGAACTGGCATGCATGTTATTCTCCACATTGTAAAATGATATTGCGCATGAATCAGGAACTTCTGTTCAAACAGACCTGGCCTGCTGTCTGGGTCAGCAATTTTGAAAAAGGTGACAACACTAAGTGTGAAAGATATAGTTTAAAAAGAAATGAATTATTTCTTAGAGCAAAAAATACAAGGAATGTATCTTAAAAAGGTTTTCAATGTTCTAATGACAGTACATCCAACTAGTATTGATTCTGAGAGAGCTTTTTCTAATGCAGCTGCCATTTGTACAAAAATTAGATCTACATAGATTAGATGACGAGAGCCTACATGTATTATGTTTGTTAAAAGCCTACTTTCAAAATAAAGAAAAACATAATTAATTATCAGTATTATTTCAATGTTTCTTATGTCATAATAATTGCTATTACAAGAATTGTTTGTCTAAACTGATAGAAAACTTGAAAATAAATGGTTGTCCAATAATTCTGTCAGTAATTCAGTTTCATTTTAAATCGTTTGTTAATATGAATTTACCAGTAAATTACTGATAAACCGGTAATCCCGAATATAATTACCAAATTACCAGTAATATAATACCCGGTAAATTTGCAATCACTAACACTTAGCTATTTGTGGCAGCACTCAATTATTGGTGTTCGCTACACTCAGGTTTTCTTTTAGACATTTTGGGGGACTACGGCCTTGAGCCTAAAAACTGCACACCAACATCAAACATAGAGGGTACAGTAGCCATACGTATGCCATTCAGAGGGATCCTACCTTTCTCTATTGTCTATCTCCTCTCCCTCCTTCCCCCTTTCCTACTAACTGAACACCTTGTATATGGCCGATGTCTTTCATGTATGTATGTATGTATGTATGTAACCTTATCCATTGATTACCCTTTTTATCTTATCTCATAAAATATGGCCGAGTTTCAGGATCACAATATTAGGCTACAAGTAGCAGATTGAGATAATTATAGTGCTCTATGACACTAAATTTGGGCAACTTACTACTTTTTGGACTATATTTTGAGAATTCTGCTTTACTTTTTATGAAACCTACCTGGTAGCCTGAGGTTCTCATCAGACACATGCTACTAACCTGCAGTTTATTTATATTATTATTAATATTCAATAATTATTAATGAAAGTAGCATTTTGTAGACATAGCCTTATTCCATTTGCTTAATAAATTACATCAGTTACATGGCATTTGGCATACTACATAGAAATATGTAAATTTCAGTTAATTCAAAGTCATGATTATCTTGTCACTTGAATTTTGAACTGATGAGATTTCCTGTATACGAGGTATAAGTTACACTTTCTACTTAATGGTATAAAGATGTAAAATACTTATAGTATAAGTATATTTGGATTAATGTATTATATCTGTTCCCAATTGCACTCTGCACCATATCCAATCTTTACATTTTGTGTTTTACAAAAGATAACTCCTTTCAGCCACAAGATAAATATTTTATCTTCCCCATCTTGTGTGAAAACAGCTTACCAGATAGCTGGCCTATTTTAGAAAAGAGTCCAGTGAGGAGACAATAGCTTGAGGTGACCAGCTGGTACTTCCTGGCCCAAGGCTTATAAGTAGTGATGTAATGAATATTCGGTTACTATTCGGTATTCAGCCTATTCGGCCTATTTTTCACTATTCGGCTGAATACCGAATACCTAAAAACAGGAGTAATAAATAACAAAAACACAGTAAATTAATCATTTTGGTATTTAGATTTAATGTTATCGAGTTAGTGTTGTTTGTTTATATTTATTTATAACTTGTAACATGCATAAAATAAAAAAGAAAATAATATTAGTCACATGTATTCACAATTTATAATTACAAAGATCAGCACACGTACACACCTATTCGTTCCAGAATCGTCGCACATCTGAGGGTCCGACCCTGCCTATCCTTCTTTCTAAGCGCTTGTCTTTGCTCTTCCCTTTCTCTCACCTCTATCGCTCTAATCCATGTACGCCTGTGCATACATCATAATATGTACGCGCTCACAATACTTTCGATTCGTCACTTTTCCGTCCTAGAGTTCCCATTTTACAATTACGTGACTCAGCCTGGTGATAACAGAGAAAACAGACAGATAGGACGTCGATATAAGTCACAGTTATGATTTCACAGATTCGAGACAGCTTGATAGCCCGAACGGCCCCAGGCTTTCGCCCATGCACGCTAANAGAAAAGTAATCTCAGTTTTTAAAATAAACATATATTTATATTCTCTATACTAAATTAGATTTTATTACTTAGGTCAACAGAAGAGATTTTTGCCCTTTTCATAAGCATTGCATTTGCAGTTGATGCAGGAAGAAATACTTATTTAAGTAAATACCCTTATATTTTAAAAATTGATTATATTTAAAAAGGTTAATTTAGTTATCAAAGATTGATTAAAAGTGTTTTTTAAAATTGTAATTTCATATTCAATAAAATATTTTTTCTATAAACTTAACAGCATTTGAGTGCCAAAATATTACAAGTGAAAAATGAAATATAATTATAAATTTAAAGCATAATTTTTACTTTTCAATATTTTGAAAAAGTATATTTGAAATCTTGTTTTTCTTTTTTAGATTTTAGCAAATATTATTTATCAGATGCATGTACATCTGAAACACATTCATTTACCACAGAAGAATTAACTTCAAGACTTAGCAATACTAGTGCAAATTCTACAGTTATTTTAACTTTACCACCCTGCAGACGTGAAAATAGCTTGCTGTTCTTATTATTAATGTTGGGAACTGTTTGGCTGGCCGTTTCCTTATATAATTTCAATAAAACGTAAGTCATAATGATTTATTTGAATGAAGTAGATGAAAATATTATGAAATAAACTGATTAAATAATAAGCAGTATTACCATTTGTAATCTAATGATTTTTATTTCTAAGAAAAGTACACACGAGAATATATGTAAATTATTTCTTATAATTTTACAATAACTATTGCATTTTGCATAATGTACAAAAGTTTTTAGAAATGATTTATTTACATAATAAAAAACTTTTCTCATTAATATAGNCCAATAGAGAGCAGGATCCTTGCCATAATGCGGTTTGTGCGCCAATTTTCGTACGTGCGTTAATTAAGCCGAATAGTTTGGCCAAATATTCGGCTATTCGGCCACGCTCCTGGCCGAATATTCGGTATTCGGCTTGAGGCCGAATATACTATTCATTACAACACTACTTATAAGTCAATTTTAGACTACATCCAGGACTGGATGAAGATAATTTTGCACCTCAGACAGACTCCATATGCGATGCCCCAAAACTTTTTTATACTTAAATAATTTGTAATTGTACTAGTACATATTTAATAGTGCTGTCTATATACTTTTCATCTTTACATATGTAATTATACAGTACTTCGAACTTATATTTGAGTTATAAATAAACACTTGGCTTTATTTCCATCATTTTTAGTTGATTTTAGCTAAAAATGATGGAAATAAAGCCAACTGTTTATTAATAACTCAAATGTGAGTTTGAAGTCCAATATATTCGCAAAACACAGTTTCAAAAACAACATATGTAATTGTTTTATACTTGCTAACTAGACATTTCTATCAATAGAAGATAATGAATTATTTTATGGTATTTCAATATTTGTGTCTATTTGGAACAGAAGTATAGCAGTGCTTCCATTGTCAGGTAATTATTTTTGGTAGGAGTGCAGGTTCTAAGACCTTAGTGCTAGCATTAGTTTTGTTCTCCAGAAGGTGCCCAGTCAGCTCATCCTTTAATCCAGCACTGGCTACATCTTTTGGCTGTCATCCCTTAGTTGGTTGTTCAGTTTTCAATTTGAGTGTTTTTCTTGTTGATACGATCAGAAGTAAGGGGCCACTTTGAGTTAGGAGTGCATCATTCTTTTGGGGTAAACAAATGCGTCTCTGTCTCTCTTTTACTTGCCAAATTTCTTCTTCTTTTCCTCTGGATGACTCATTATTGTAAGTTCTCTCTGGTGTCAAAATGTGACACCACTGTGAATCAGCTGGTTCTTCTATAGCATTTGGAATTTCAAAGTGTGTGATTCACTTTTGCCTTTACATATTTATCACACTTAAAATTTTTAAAAAGTTTACGTTTTTGTAAAATTAATAAAAATAATAATAATTGATATCTTTATTTACAGATGTTAAGAAATGCATAGTTGGCCAAACAATTGGAGGATTAATTTTCTCCTTTTTCTCAGGCCAACCAATGGTAGTCATAATGACAACTGCACCACTTAGTTTATATATAAAAGGTAATGTTCAAGTGCATGAACTATGTTCAAGGTTATATTTTATATAATTTAAAATATAATTTATTTATTTATATTTTATATAAATTATGTACATAACTTTCATATCAAATTAATATAATTACACAATAACTATACCATAAAACAAACTTTGTAAACAGGAATGTAATGCAATGTATTATTAATATTCTATTTTGATCATATAATGGCTATTCCATGTTAAATTAAAACTAAATTATTTTCAATGTGCTTATATAAATATCATACATTACATTAGTTTTAGTTATAATTTAATGATAAATAGTTATACAGAACCATACCAATTATCCAGAAAGCATGAGGCAGAAGTAGTCTGGATTTCTGAATTTTCCAGTTTGCTGGATACAGGTTAAGTAAATACTAAAATATAAAATGAACAAAATTGTATCTAGCACATACAAATTAAGCAGAGTCTGTTTGATCAGTATTAATCCTCTTAAAATATAGGATACCATGTATTATGCAATATTTAGGATGAAAATTAAATGAAGAAAAGTAAAGAACATAATAGAACTAACATGGTGTGATGCTTACACCATAGAAACCAAAACAAAGCAGCTGCATGGCAAAATACATCTGTACTGCAACCTGCCTAATTCAAGACTAGCAGCTTCAAAAGTAGCCAGTTTTCTGATAATTCCAGAATTCTGGAAGCTGGATAATGGTTTGATACTGTATTATGGATGTCAAGTTTATTATAAATATAAATATGATACTTACATGATGTTTTTAATATGAATAATATAATATTTTATAATTATACACTGTAAAAGTTCAGACAATTTTTAAATTTCATTAAAATTCATTAGTTAAAAAGTAAACAACTATAACTCAATATGCAGTAGGTACGTATTCTCATTTCATGAAAACATATTTATTTTGTTTCATTTTGTAATTTTCATTCAAAAAATAGAATATAATTTTTACTTATTTTCATTTTTGACATAAGATATATAAAAACTACCAGTTTGGATCAGAAGTCACATTATTTCAATTTAAAAAATTTTCCCCTGAATGGAGATTGGCATGACTTCGTTATTATCAGGAAAAGTATGGTGTATAGGGTTATGGCACTACTAATTTAAGATGCAGAGGATATATTTTAAACTAAATAAATTAAGAATACGATTAAAAATTGCAGCCCACATTGTGATGAAATCACAATAAATAATTGTTCATTTACTTATCCTGTTTAGTGTTATCAGTATAAGCAACAGTCTTCTGGCAGCCAGTCTATCTGAAAAGATCTCCTGGCTACTCAAACATGACACCACAAACTTTCAAAAACAGTTTTTCTGGCAGCTCTTTTTAAAAGCTCTTTTGGGGGCCACATTCCCGAGTACTTGGAACCACTATGCTGATATGCCAGCTTAACACATAGAGTATAAACAAATCAAAGTGTGAATATCTGTCAAAATTGCTGTTGGATGTTTTCGTGGTTGTCGTCCAAGAGACTCATGTCCCAAATGAAGAGCAGTTCCAGAAAAGATGCCACATTCCAGGACTCACTGCAATAGGCGTAACATATGACAGTTCTTATGGTATTGCAACATACGTACACAATATCATTCAAAATGTCAACTTACTGTCACAAAGTGTACAAGAAAACATCAACATGGTCGTAACAAAAGTGAACAATGTGACAATCACAAATGTCTACAAGCCAGCTGTCTTGCTTGGCCAGAAACAGTTCTCCCCCCCCAACTGTACATCCTTCCATCTATGTAGGGGACTTTAGCAGCCACAGTGAAGAGTGGAATTATGCAACTACTGATGAATGTGGCTTGAGACTCGTTGAATGGGCAGAAATACACAATCTAGTGTTGATATTTGATGCCAAAGACAAAGGGACATTTAGATCAGCAGCCTGGAGAAAAGATTATAATCCAGATCTGTGATGAAAGGGGCCACAATCTGTCACCATGAGGAAGGTACTTGAGGGCTTCCCACACAGCCAACATAGACCAGTATTGCTTGAAATTGGCATCACTATTCCTTTCATAAAATCTATCCTTCACCCAAGATGGAACTTCTTAAAAGCTAACTGGGAGCTCTCCACTAAGCTAGAGAGGTGCATACGTTGGATCCCACAAAAAAGCAATGGCTACAAACATTTCATTCCAGTCTCGATACCACCCGAAGACAAAAATAAATCAACACTGTTGAAAATTTAAATTTCACTCATTCCAGCCAAACAGCTTGAAGCCTTCTTAAAAAACTAGGAGGGAGTGCATCTGTAACTAAAGAACAGTCCAAAGCCACACCTGACCAAATAGCCAACCATATTATCTTAAAATCCTGAGTTCAATCTGATAAAAACCACACTAAATTTGTGAAACGTCAACTTAGAGCTCTGAAAACAAAGGCAGCATCTGTATCAAACTATGCTTGACCTTTCTCAGTTGAAGACATAGATATGACTTTGAAGAAATTAAAACCTGGTAAGGCCCCCTGCTTTGATGGAATCCATCCTGAGTTCTTAATACATACTGGCAAGAACACAAGAGTATGGCTAGCACTGTTTTTCACAGACACTCCAAAATGGTACACTTTCACAAGAATTTAAGAAATCTAAAATACTAGCCATTTTAAAGCCTGGAAAACCATGTGACAAACCAGAAAGCTTCTGACCCATAGCACTTCTCAGCTGCTGCTACATGCTCTTTGAGAGGCTCATCTACAATAGAATTGGCAGCACTATTTTAAAGCATGTACCATCAGACCAAGCAGGTTTTAGACCAAACAAGTACTGTTGTGATCAAGTCCTTTCTCTTATGACCCATATAGAAGTAAGCTTTCAAAAGCACTTGAAGACCAGTGTTGTATTTATTGATCTTACTGCAGCATTCAATACTGTCTGGAGAGAGGATGTGATATACAAACTTCTGCAGATCATCCCATGCAGAACAACAGCCCATATCATCAGCATGCTTTGCGATAGGAAATTTCAAGTCTTTCTGGGGGATAAAATGAGCACAGGTAGGAAGATATGCAATGGTCTACCTCAAGGATCAGTGCTCTCACCTTTACTATTTAACCTATACATTTCTGATCTCCCAATTACTACATCAAGAAAGTTCTGCTAAGTGGATGATATCACAATAGCTGCACAACACAGTCAATTAGTGCAAATTGAATAAACTTTGGAACACAATCTGGAGAGTCTGGAGTACTACTTCAAAAATTGGTGATTGTCTCCAAGTGCCACCAAAACAGAAGTGTCCTGTTTCCACCTGAACAACCAACTGGCAAATACAAAGCTGAATGTCTCTGTAACCAATCTCTTAGATATAATATGTACCCTAAATACCTGGGAATCACCCTTGATTGTACTCTGTCTTTTAAGATGCATCTAACAAATGTTGCTGGCAAGCTTAAGAGCAGGAATAATATAATACAGAAGCTTTGTGGAACCACATGGGGATCAACTGCTAACACCTTGTGCTGTTTAGCTTTGGGACTGGTTTACTCGTGTGCTGAGTATTGTGCCCGTCTGGCTGAATAGCTCCCATACAAGATTGGTAGATACGCAGCTTAATGTTACATTTCTGGTACCATACAATCTACATCAGCACTTTGGCTACCATTATTGGCAGGAGTCATGCCATCTGACCTGTGACAATTTAAGACCCTAGTTTGCAAGTCCCTAAAGCTAAACAAAAATCCTCAACTCCAAGTTCACCAAGACATCCCATCTTTGCGTATTAACCGTTTGAAATCTTGGAATCCAATTCTTCAGGCAGCTCAAGACAGGGCCACAACTGATGATGACTACATGACATTGTGGAAAAACCGTTGGAAAACAGGGACTGGGTCCCACTGCACAGTCTGTTCTGTCATGGAGAAAAAGTCCAGGAATTTGACTTACCTCGCAGAACATGGACTGTATTAAACCGTGTCAGGATGGGTCATGGCAGGTGTAGAGACTCTTTGCTCAAATGGAAGAAGGTTCCAAGCCTGGAGTGTGACTGTGGTGCTCCACTTCAGACTGTTGAGCACATTGTACGTGAATGTAGACTGCGGGCTTACCCAGGAGACTGGAGTGACATACTAATGTCCATCTCAGAAGCTGTAAAGTGGATAAGTGAGTTAGATCTACAGCTCTGAATGCTATTTATATTCTTGTGTATATGGGGCAGTCACATAATTGTACAGTTTTATAGTTGTTTAATTGTATTTAGATTTACTGCTCCTTATTCTCCTATTTCATTTCTGGTTTTGTGTTACTCCATTCTTCTGCGCTTTTGTTTGTGTCATGTATAAGCCATACGTTAAGTAAATAGAGCATAAGCAAGTCCAAAGTTATTACAATAAACAGATTTTACTGTATTTAAGTATTAAATTAATATTTAATGTAAAATATATATTGTATGTTCTTAATAAATATTTTAAGATTTCATTTTAAACTCTATTAAAAAAGATTTTGCAGTATATTCTATTAAAAAAAAGTAATAATTTATGTAAGGTCTATTTTATGTAAGTAATAGATATGAAATCATATTTAAAATTTTTCAAAATGCATTCTTCAAAAATGTTTTAAAAAATTTTAGAAGTTTTTTTTTATGAATTTAACTTGAAATTAATATATATTATATTTTCAGTGATAGACAATATATGTGAAGATTTCAAACTTAATTTCTTTGCCATGTACGCTTGTGTAGGATTATGGAATACTTTCTTCCTTATATTATACGCAATATTTGATGTCAGTAAGCTTATGAAATTATCAACAAGGTAAGATATTTATAAATTAAAAAGCTTGCAATAATTTTTAATATGTATATTATATATTTAAAAATGATAATTTAAAAATTTTATAATTAAAAATAAATAACAAGTAATTTATGTGAATCTTCAAAGAACTGAAATTTGGATCAGTGTAATAAGCAGAAAGTGTAATTGATTACTGTTATTAAGAGATGTACTGTATATTATTTACAAAAATCACCTGTGTGGCAATCTGTTGTTTCAAGCTTATCAATTAATGCTATTTTCAAAAAATGATTAGTTATAAGTTATTAAATGTCAACATTAATGGTACAAAACTATGCATAAATGTCAGGCTCAGAAAAAAACAATCTAAAACAAAATCACAATTTTTTGAGTAATATATAATCTGTTCATCTGCATTCTATTATAAACATGATTATTTTCAGAATAAATTTTAACAATTAATATATTCTTGATTAAATGACTGATTTAATTTTTGTATTTACAAAATAGATGATACCATAAACAGAAATTCTGTTAAAATTTCTTTTTGTCAATTATATTTTTAACATTTTCACTTTTAGTATTCAAAATTTGAAATAATCTTTTACAGTTATCAAATAAGTTTATCAAATATATATATATATATACATACAATATATGACATCAAAACAGGTAATATAGCTTAACTGTGTATAAATTTGATATAAGGATTTATATACCGTTAAGCTATATTATCTGTTTTGATATATATTTTCTAAAACTCCTAAGTAAAAATTTACTTTCATGTTTAATAATGAAATACTGTATATTATTTTATTTTATAATTGAAAGTAAATTTTATAATATCAATTAGAATATCCACAACCGTGAGGCAGATAATAGTGAGGGCTTATCAGACCAGACTTATCAGACTTATAAGCCCTCACTATTATCTGCCTCATGGTTGTGGATATTTTAATTGATATTATTATATCAAGGGCTAGAAGCAACTTTTGTAATAATTTAGTAAATTTTATAATAAAATTAATGTACTGAAATAGAGATTTTCTAAGAATAAAGAAAATGATAATGAATTATAAAAGTAATATTATTTTTGTTAATATTTAAATAAGAATGAAATTATTTGAAATTCAAAATGCAATAAATTCATTTATTCATTTAATTTTGGATAATTAAAATGAAAAATTTTGATGAAAACAAATTCAAATAAATTTTAATTCAAATACTGTATTATATTGTAATTGTCTTAATTTTAAAATATGAAAATACAAAATTATTTTAGTGAAGCAATGAAAATCCAGATTTGGCTGTTGAAAAATGGATATTAATATGTAATTAATTTTTAATTTTGAAATTTTGATTAGTGTCTTTTTTCTTTAAATATAATGATTTTTTTAAAATTATATTTTGAATCTTTGTAAATATTCCCACATTACTTGTAAAATACTAGCTTAAATTTAGAACACCTAAATTTCAATTACAGTTTATTTGGAGTTTACAGTATTTTAAGTGCTAATTTGCATGTATACTTCAAAATCCAGGTTTAATCTAGCCCCAATTAGTCAGGATATTCAATGCTTCATTATATTTTTTATTTCATTAATATAGAAAAGTAATCTCAGTTTTTAAAATAAACATATATTTATATTCTCTATACTAAATTAGATTTTATTACTTAGGTCAACAGAAGAGATTTTTGCCCTTTTCATAAGCATTGCATTTGCAGTTGATGCAGGAAGAAATACTTATTTAAGTAAATACCCTTATATTTTAAAAATTGATTATATTTAAAAAGGTTAATTTAGTTATCAAAGATTGATTAAAAGTGTTTTTTAAAATTGTAATTTCATATTCAATAAAATATTTTTTCTATAAACTTAACAGCATTTGAGTGCCAAAATATTACAAGTGAAAAATGAAATATAATTATAAATTTAAAGCATAATTTTTACTTTTCAATATTTTGAAAAAGTATATTTGAAATCTTGTTTTTCTTTTTTAGATTTTAGCAAATATTATTTATCAGATGCATGTACATCTGAAACACATTCATTTACCACAGAAGAATTAACTTCAAGACTTAGCAATACTAGTGCAAATTCTACAGTTATTTTAACTTTACCACCCTGCAGACGTGAAAATAGCTTGCTGTTCTTATTATTAATGTTGGGAACTGTTTGGCTGGCCGTTTCCTTATATAATTTCAATAAAACGTAAGTCATAATGATTTATTTGAATGAAGTAGATGAAAATATTATGAAATAAACTGATTAAATAATAAGCAGTATTACCATTTGTAATCTAATGATTTTTATTTCTAAGAAAAGTACACACGAGAATATATGTAAATTATTTCTTATAATTTTACAATAACTATTGCATTTTGCATAATGTACAAAAGTTTTTAGAAATGATTTATTTACATAATAAAAAACTTTTCTCATTAATATAGTTCATGTAATTTTCAATCCATCCTTTTGAATTTTATGGATCATATTTTGTATAAAAAAAAATAAATTCATTTTATTATAATTTAATCTTTTTAGTTTGACATTTTGAAGTGTATTACTAGTAATATTTCTATTTGAATGAATAAGATAAAATTAATATTTGATATATAACTTAGGTGCAATTTTTACTTTATTTCTTTATTGAACTCACAGAAAATATTATATTTTTCTTTATTTTTATAATTTTGAAGATTTTTATCAAAATAATTAAATATTAATCACACAAAAATACAAAATTAACAAATATTGTTTGAACATATTATTTTAAAATTGATTACACACATGTTAAAGTTCTTTCTTCTATGCATTTGGAGCTAGAACTATTTGAAATGACTAACAAGTAAGACAAAGTGAGAAAGGTTTTGTCTTAGTCATTTAAAGTTCTTAAATTTAATGATAATAGTTTTTAACTTTCTTTCTTTTTACAGACCTTACTTACAAGCTAGTAAAAGAGAAATATTAGCTGACTATTCTCTACCTGTAGCTGTTATTTCCCTCAGTTTTATAGGGTCTTTTGTGTTCAAAGANAACTGCACCACTTAGTTTATATATAAAAGGTAATGTTCAAGTGCATGAACTATGTTCAAGGTTATATTTTATATAATTTAAAATATAATTTATTTATTTATATTTTATATAAATTATGTACATAACTTTCATATCAAATTAATATAATTACACAATAACTATACCATAAAACAAACTTTGTAAACAGGAATGTAATGCAATGTATTATTAATATTCTATTTTGATCATATAATGGCTATTCCATGTTAAATTAAAACTAAATTATTTTCAATGTGCTTATATAAATATCATACATTACATTAGTTTTAGTTATAATTTAATGATAAATAGTTATACAGAACCATACCAATTATCCAGAAAGCATGAGGCAGAAGTAGTCTGGATTTCTGAATTTTCCAGTTTGCTGGATACAGGTTAAGTAAATACTAAAATATAAAATGAACAAAATTGTATCTAGCACATACAAATTAAGCAGAGTCTGTTTGATCAGTATTAATCCTCTTAAAATATAGGATACCATGTATTATGCAATATTTAGGATGAAAATTAAATGAAGAAAAGTAAAGAACATAATAGAACTAACATGGTGTGATGCTTACACCATAGAAACCAAAACAAAGCAGCTGCATGGCAAAATACATCTGTACTGCAACCTGCCTAATTCAAGACTAGCAGCTTCAAAAGTAGCCAGTTTTCTGATAATTCCAGAATTCTGGAAGCTGGATAATGGTTTGATACTGTATTATGGATGTCAAGTTTATTATAAATATAAATATGATACTTACATGATGTTTTTAATATGAATAATATAATATTTTATAATTATACACTGTAAAAGTTCAGACAATTTTTAAATTTCATTAAAATTCATTAGTTAAAAAGTAAACAACTATAACTCAATATGCAGTAGGTACGTATTCTCATTTCATGAAAACATATTTATTTTGTTTCATTTTGTAATTTTCATTCAAAAAATAGAATATAATTTTTACTTATTTTCATTTTTGACATAAGATATATAAAAACTACCAGTTTGGATCAGAAGTCACATTATTTCAATTTAAAAAATTTTCCCCTGAATGGAGATTGGCATGACTTCGTTATTATCAGGAAAAGTATGGTGTATAGGGTTATGGCACTACTAATTTAAGATGCAGAGGATATATTTTAAACTAAATAAATTAAGAATACGATTAAAAATTGCAGCCCACATTGTGATGAAATCACAATAAATAATTGTTCATTTACTTATCCTGTTTAGTGTTATCAGTATAAGCAACAGTCTTCTGGCAGCCAGTCTATCTGAAAAGATCTCCTGGCTACTCAAACATGACACCACAAACTTTCAAAAACAGTTTTTCTGGCAGCTCTTTTTAAAAGCTCTTTTGGGGGCCACATTCCCGAGTACTTGGAACCACTATGCTGATATGCCAGCTTAACATAGAGAGTATAAACAAATCAAAGTGTGAATATCTGTCAAAATTGCTGTTGGATGTTTTCGTGGTTGTCGTCCAAGAGACTCATGTCCCAAATGAAGAGCAGTTCCAGAAAAGATGCCACATTCCAGGACTCACTGCAATAGGCGTAACATATGACAGTTCTTATGGTATTGCAACATACGTACACAATATCATTCAAAATGTCAACTTACTGTCACAAAGTGTACAAGAAAACATCAACATGGTCGTAACAAAAGTGAACAATGTGACAATCACAAATGTCTACAAGCCAGCTGTCTTGCTTGGCCAGAAACAGTTCTCCCCCCCCAACTGTACATCCTTCCATCTATGTAGGGGACTTTAGCAGCCACAGTGAAGAGTGGAATTATGCAACTACTGATGAATGTGGCTTGAGACTCGTTGAATGGGCAGAAATACACAATCTAGTGTTGATATTTGATGCCAAAGACAAAGGGACATTTAGATCAGCAGCCTGGAGAAAAGATTATAATCCAGATCTGTGATGAAAGGGGCCACAATCTGTCACCATGAGGAAGGTACTTGAGGGCTTCCCACACAGCCAACATAGACCAGTATTGCTTGAAATTGGCATCACTATTCCTTTCATAAAATCTATCCTTCACCCAAGATGGAACTTCTTAAAAGCTAACTGGGAGCTCTCCACTAAGCTAGAGAGGTGCATACGTTGGATCCCACAAAAAAGCAATGGCTACAAACATTTCATTCCAGTCTCGATACCACCTGAAGACAAAAATAAATCAACACTGTTGAAAATTTAAATTTCACTCATTCCAGCCAAACAGCTTGAAGCCTTCTTAAAAAACTAGGAGGGAGTGCATCTGTAACTAAAGAACAGTCCAAAGCCACACCTGACCAAATAGCCAACCATATTATCTTAAAATCCTGAGTTCAATCTGATAAAAACCACACTAAATTTGTGAAACGTCAACTTAGAGCTCTGAAAACAAAGGCAGCATCTGTATCAAACTATGCTTGACCTTTCTCAGTTGAAGACATAGATATGACTTTGAAGAAATTAAAACCTGGTAAGGCCCCCTGCTTTGATGGAATCCATCCTGAGTTCTTAATACATACTGGCAAGAACACAAGAGTATGGCTAGCACTGTTTTTCACAGACACTCCAAAATGGTACACTTTCACAAGAATTTAAGAAATCTAAAATACTAGCCATTTTAAAGCCTGGAAAACCATGTGACAAACCAGAAAGCTTCTGACCCATAGCACTTCTCAGCTGCTGCTACATGCTCTTTGAGAGGCTCATCTACAATAGAATTGGCAGCACTATTTTAAAGCATGTACCATCAGACCAAGCAGGTTTTAGACCAAACAAGTACTGTTGTGATCAAGTCCTTTCTCTTATGACCCATATAGAAGTAAGCTTTCAAAAGCACTTGAAGACCAGTGTTGTATTTATTGATCTTACTGCAGCATTCAATACTGTCTGGAGAGAGGATGTGATATACAAACTTCTGCAGATCATCCCATGCAGAACAACAGCCCATATCATCAGCATGCTTTGCGATAGGAAATTTCAAGTCTTTCTGGGGGATAAAATGAGCACAGGTAGGAAGATATGCAATGGTCTACCTCAAGGATCAGTGCTCTCACCTTTACTATTTAACCTATACATTTCTGATCTCCCAATTACTACATCAAGAAAGTTCTGCTAAGTGGATGATATCACAATAGCTGCACAACACAGTCAATTAGTGCAAATTGAATAAACTTTGGAACACAATCTGGAGAGTCTGGAGTACTACTTCAAAAATTGGTGATTGTCTCCAAGTGCCACCAAAACAGAAGTGTCCTGTTTCCACCTGAACAACCAACTGGCAAATACAAAGCTGAATGTCTCTGTAACCAATCTCTTAGATATAATATGTACCCTAAATACCTGGGAATCACCCTTGATTGTACTCTGTCTTTTAAGATGCATCTAACAAATGTTGCTGGCAAGCTTAAGAGCAGGAATAATATAATACAGAAGCTTTGTGGAACCACATGGGGATCAACTGCTAACACCTTGTGCTGTTTAGCTTTGGGACTGGTTTACTCGTGTGCTGAGTATTGTGCCCGTCTGGCTGAATAGCTCCCATACAAGATTGGTAGATACGCAGCTTAATGTTACATTTCTGGTACCATACAATCTACATCAGCACTTTGGCTACCATTATTGGCAGGAGTCATGCCATCTGACCTGTGACAATTTAAGACCCTAGTTTGCAAGTCCCTAAAGCTAAGCAAAAATCCTCAACTCCAAGTTCACCAAGACATCCCATCTTTGCGTATTAACCGTTTGAAATCTTGGAATCCAATTCTTCAGGCAGCTCAAGACAGGGCCACAACTGATGATGACTACATGACATTGTGGAAAAACCGTTGGAAAACAGGGACTGGGTCCCACTGCACAGTCTGTTCTGTCATGGAGAAAAAGTCCAGGAATTTGACTTACCTCGCAGAACATGGACTGTATTAAACCGTGTCAGGATGGGTCATGGCAGGTGTAGAGACTCTTTGCTCAAATGGAAGAAGGTTCCAAGCCTGGAGTGTGACTGTGGTGCTCCACTTCAGACTGTTGAGCACATTGTACGTGAATGTAGACTGCGGGCTTACCCAGGAGACTGGAGTGACATACTAATGTCCATCTCAGAAGCTGTAAAGTGGATAAGTGAGTTAGATCTACAGCTCTGAATGCTCTTTATATTCTTGTGTATATGGGGCAGTCACATAATTGTACAGTTTTATAGTTGTTTAATTGTATTTAGATTTACTGCTCCTTATTCTCCTATTTCATTTCTGGTTTTGTGTTACTCCATTCTTCTGCGCTTTTGTTTGTGTCATGTATAAGCCATACGTTAAGTAAATAGAGCATAAGCAAGTCCAAAGTTATTACAATAAACAGATTTTACTGTATTTAAGTATTAAATTAATATTTAATGTAAAATATATATTGTATGTTCTTAATAAATATTTTAAGATTTCATTTTAAACTCTATTAAAAAAGATTTTGCAGTATATTCTATTAAAAAAAAGTAATAATTTATGTAAGGTCTATTTTATGTAAGTAATAGATATGAAATCATATTTAAAATTTTTCAAAATGCATTCTTCAAAAATGTTTTAAAAAATTTTAGAAGTTTTTTTTTATGAATTTAACTTGAAATTAATATATATTATATTTTCAGTGATAGACAATATATGTGAAGATTTCAAACTTAATTTCTTTGCCATGTACGCTTGTGTAGGATTATGGAATACTTTCTTCCTTATATTATACGCAATATTTGATGTCAGTAAGCTTATGAAATTATCAACAAGGTAAGATATTTATAAATTAAAAAGCTTGCAATAATTTTTAATATGTATATTATATATTTAAAAATGATAATTTAAAAATTTTATAATTAAAAATAAATAACAAGTAATTTATGTGAATCTTCAAAGAACTGAAATTTGGATCAGTGTAATAAGCAGAAAGTGTAATTGATTACTGTTATTAAGAGATGTACTGTATATTATTTACAAAAATCACCTGTGTGGCAATCTGTTGTTTCAAGCTTATCAATTAATGCTATTTTCAAAAAATGATTAGTTATAAGTTATTAAATGTCAACATTAATGGTACAAAACTATGCATAAATGTCAGGCTCAGAAAAAAACAATCTAAAACAAAATCACAATTTTTTGAGTAATATATAATCTGTTCATCTGCATTCTATTATAAACATGATTATTTTCAGAATAAATTTTAACAATTAATATATTCTTGATTAAATGACTGATTTAATTTTTGTATTTACAAAATAGATGATACCATAAACAGAAATTCTGTTAAAATTTCTTTTTGTCAATTATATTTTTAACATTTTCATTTATTCAAAAATTATTATTTATTTATTTTTTTAGTGTATTGATGCATCCTATGAAATTGCTTTAAATTTGCCATTTGGAACAATTTTAAGATTCCATTATTCTATGCTTGANTTAATTGATATTATTATATCAAGGGCTAGAAGCAACTTTTGTAATAATTTAGTAAATTTTATAATAAAATTAATGTACTGAAATAGAGATTTTCTAAGAATAAAGAAAATGATAATGAATTATAAAAGTAATATTATTTTTGTTAATATTTAAATAAGAATGAAATTATTTGAAATTCAAAATGCAATAAATTCATTTATTCATTTAATTTTGGATAATTAAAATGAAAAATTTTGATGAAAACAAATTCAAATAAATTTTAATTCAAATACTGTATTATATTGTAATTGTCTTAATTTTAAAATATGAAAATACAAAATTATTTTAGTGAAGCAATGAAAATCCAGATTTGGCTGTTGAAAAATGGATATTAATATGTAATTAATTTTTAATTTTGAAATTTTGATTAGTGTCTTTTTTCTTTAAATATAATGATTTTTTTAAAATTATATTTTGAATCTTTGTAAATATTCCCACATTACTTGTAAAATACTAGCTTAAATTTAGAACACCTAAATTTCAATTACAGTTTATTTGGAGTTTACAGTATTTTAAGTGCTAATTTGCATGTATACTTCAAAATCCAGGTTTAATCTAGCCCCAATTAGTCAGGATATTCAATGCTTCATTATATTTTTTATTTCATTAATATAGAAAAGTAATCTCAGTTTTTAAAATAAACATATATTTATATTCTCTATACTAAATTAGATTTTATTACTTAGGTCAACAGAAGAGATTTTTGCCCTTTTCATAAGCATTGCATTTGCAGTTGATGCAGGAAGAAATACTTATTTAAGTAAATACCCTTATATTTTAAAAATTGATTATATTTAAAAAGGTTAATTTAGTTATCAAAGATTGATTAAAAGTGTTTTTTAAAATTGTAATTTCATATTCAATAAAATATTTTTTCTATAAACTTAACAGCATTTGAGTGCCAAAATATTACAAGTGAAAAATGAAATATAATTATAAATTTAAAGCATAATTTTTACTTTTCAATATTTTGAAAAAGTATATTTGAAATCTTGTTTTTCTTTTTTAGATTTTAGCAAATATTATTTATCAGATGCATGTACATCTGAAACACATTCATTTACCACAGAAGAATTAACTTCAAGACTTAGCAATACTAGTGCAAATTCTACAGTTATTTTAACTTTACCACCCTGCAGACGTGAAAATAGCTTGCTGTTCTTATTATTAATGTTGGGAACTGTTTGGCTGGCCGTTTCCTTATATAATTTCAATAAAACGTAAGTCATAATGATTTATTTGAATGAAGTAGATGAAAATATTATGAAATAAACTGATTAAATAATAAGCAGTATTACCATTTGTAATCTAATGATTTTTATTTCTAAGAAAAGTACACACGAGAATATATGTAAATTATTTCTTATAATTTTACAATAACTATTGCATTTTGCATAATGTACAAAAGTTTTTAGAAATGATTTATTTACATAATAAAAAACTTTTCTCATTAATATAGTTCATGTAATTTTCAATCCATCCTTTTGAATTTTATGGATCATATTTTGTATAAAAAAAAATAAATTCATTTTATTATAATTTAATCTTTTTAGTTTGACATTTTGAAGTGTATTACTAGTAATATTTCTATTTGAATGAATAAGATAAAATTAATATTTGATATATAACTTAGGTGCAATTTTTACTTTATTTCTTTATTGAACTCACAGAAAATATTATATTTTTCTTTATTTTTATAATTTTGAAGATTTTTATCAAAATAATTAAATATTAATCACACAAAAATACAAAATTAACAAATATTGTTTGAACATATTATTTTAAAATTGATTACACACATGTTAAAGTTCTTTCTTCTATGCATTTGGAGCTAGAACTATTTGAAATGACTAACAAGTAAGACAAAGTGAGAAAGGTTTTGTCTTAGTCATTTAAAGTTCTTAAATTTAATGATAATAGTTTTTAACTTTCTTTCTTTTTACAGACCTTACTTACAAGCTAGTAAAAGAGAAATATTAGCTGACTATTCTCTACCTGTAGCTGTTATTTCCCTCAGTTTTATAGGGTCTTTTGTGTTCAAAGATGTGCCAAGTAAGTAATAATTTATTTTTGTAATTACCAGTATCATAATTTTAAAACTTATCTTTTTCAACATTCATTAAATACATATGCTATAATTGTAATGTAAATATCAAATGGTTGACAAAATTTTAATTCATTTTATTTTTATTCAAAACATAATGCTTAAGTTTTAAAAATAATTTACAGTGGTGCCTTATAGTTTGAATTCATTTTAATTCATTCCAAGTAGTCATTCAAACTTTGAAGTCCAAAGTAATCTTTCTCATTAAAAATAACAGAAAGTGAATTAATCCATTCCCAGACCACAATACCCATTTCGATACACTTAACAAATACACATAATTTAAGGTAAAAATAACACAATTAAATGCCCTAATAATAAAATAAAACATGAAAGCAATAAATAAAATATGCAAAAACTATAAAATAAAACAAAAATTGCATTTATTGGTCACACCCTGTAGACTTTGGCATCTTAACATTGATACATGATTTAATTATTGTAAAATTTAACATATTATAGTGTGTGGTTTTATTCTTTGTTTAGAATTTTAATTTAAACAGTTTACAACTTGATTTTAGTAAAACAAAGTATGAAGTAATGTCTGGATAAAAAGCATATTGGCATATTATGCTTTATGACTTTCAAAAACGATATAACACCATACAAACAATAAAAACATAATATGTAGGTGGAAAATGCTCCTAAACTTCAAACATGTCAAATATAGTTTAAAAGTTCTGTTTGGAAAATTTTGCAATGTACAGGGAAAAAAGTTATCGATAAAGAAAAATTGTAGGAAGAAATTCTTAAAAATCGATAAACAACACACAATTCAGTATATAACCAAACACACCAAAAATAAAGCAAAAAAAAGCACTGAAAATATACAAGTATAATGAAAAAGTGAGAGAGAACTTGGACACAACAGATTGCATTTATGCTTCCAGCATATTCTTTCATTGCATGTGCACTTCAAACTTTGAAGCATCATCTGAACTCCAAGGCAAATTTTTGTTGAATTTTGCATTTGAAGTTAGAGTCATTTGAAGGGTGAGGTACTACTTATTAAAGAATGTGATTTTCAAAAATCATAAAATATGAATAAATATAGCATTGACATACAAAGGATTCATATCAAGTGCATAATAAAAGCGCACATAATTACATTACTAGAATAATAATCTAGAACAGATATAAGCAACTTTTCTAAATGTGCATGCCAGTCATCAAATTTAAGATGCAAAATGTTCTCATGTGCAAATCAAAGTTTTTAGGAAGATATAGCATTGTCTAGCCATTAGACATATCACAATGAGAAAGCTAGATTTACATTTTCTATTTTCTGTTTCTGTTAACTTGGCAACCTTGCTGTAAGTTAGTATACTGCAAAGATGTCTTGGATATTTGTTTCATTTTCTTATTACCTATTATTACTAAAACAGTTGATACGGTTTGTTTCTTTTCGCATTTTTATTTGATATTATACTGCATTGAAATTATATAATGAATCATAAAATTATTCTCGACTCACATTGTAGATTTGTGATATGTTAAATAATAACAAATTTTGTTTAAAATTTATTTTATATATATGTATATTTTTAATGTCCTATCATTAATATCCATACACATCTCTACGGATAGTGAATGAAATCCTATACAAAGACCATGTTAGAGACTGCTGCAAATAGGTTCATACAGCTTCAATAAAACATTAACATGACTGAAAATGCAAGATGCCTCAATCAAGAGTTACAGGAATTCCAGCACTGATTGATAATAGAGTACTGGATATGTATCAAAGTGACAAAATGAAGGTGTGAACAAAATGGAGATAAAGCAAACGAGTGATATTGAAGCCTGGGGATAGTTTGTATTTGATGTGTAAAAGTAATTTGATAAAATTTACAAACAACAAGAAAACCATTATGTAAGTGTTGAGCCAGCAACACTGAACTTTGACATTGTCACTCATAAAGAATAGAGGGAAACAAATTAAAGAACAAAAGAAAATGAAAAAGGGAATTGTTTAAAACACAATAAGGAAAAAGGAAATGACAAGACAGAATATGAGGATGGTCTTTGGTAAGTCACAATCAGAGTCAAATGGATGGTGTTGGATAAACCATCCCAGGCAGACCTTTCTTGTGGCATGAACTGGTCTCAAATTCTACCTGGCAACAGGTAGAAGACCAATAGGGAAAGAAAGGGAAAGATAATAATGGGTGAAAGAAAGTATAAAATTTCAGGATGACGAAAGACGTCATTCAATCTGTCAGTCTGATCCTTCAGTCTCTGCTCAGAGTCGTGCCCACACTCATCTCTGTCTTCCATACAAACGTTTAAAGTCACTGTCTCCTCCTGTGGCTACGACCAGAGTCAACTCCCTATGCATAAACTCAACAAAATCGCCGCTGCCCCACAGCTACCCATTGAACCTCAAAGTGAACAATTTACGACGAATGATGACTTTGAGACTTTGATTTGTCTTTCAGAACCTATATTGCTGATGTAAGCATAATTTTACCCAAATAAACACTTTATTGTCAACACTTTTTTATTCTTTTCCTCCAATTACCATTACCCACATACATAAGGGCCCTAAACTATCCTGACTAGGGAGTAAAATTCCCCCCTCAAATTGGCATACTTACAGACAAGAGTGACTATGTTAATCTATAATTAAATATATAAAATGCATTCACTTGATAGAGAATATAGATTCAGTGTATTTTAAATTTAAGTATGAATAGATTCTTAATAATAAATCTGTTTTATTTTCACAATTTTAAGATTAATTTTTACAAACAGTTTATATTTAATCTTAAAAATTTTAGAAATACTGATCATTAAGCCCTAAACAGTATTGGTCTAAGGGTATTATTTAGCTCTTCTAGTACTTAGGGGATGTTTAAGAATACTTGTCAAGTACAGTATATATTCTGAATTTGCCAAAGTCCAGCAATATAAACATTTTGAATATTGATTTTCATAATAAATTCATATTGTACGATTATTTTGTGGTGAAAGTGACATCCACTACAAAAAATTCACAGTTTACTTAGTGTAACAGAAAATTGTACATAAAAAATAATAATTTATATAACTCACCATAGATGATTATCAAGTCATAAAAATAAAATTCCAAATGGGTAAGACAAGCTGGCATTCAGTGGACATACCTACAATGCCAATGATTCCAAAACAATAATCATTATTAACTAAGTTCAGAGATGATTCTAAAGATGGAATAATAATACGAGTTTGTGAATTTGAGACATATATAATTTGTTACTCTGAAGTATTTTTGAACAAACATATTTAACTGTTACTCTTTTGAAACTTTTTTCATCACCTTAGGTGTTATGGTATTTGTGTCACTCTTTTGAAAGAAATCAAGGTTACTACATAAGCAATCACACTATATTTGAGATTTCTGCAACATTGAAGATCCCTAGCATGATAATTTTGATGTAATGTGCAAATGGAATAGATAGGATTGAATCTGCTAAGAAATCACTCAATACCTTCGAAACTACCAGTACATGACAGGGAAAGTGCTGAAACACTGAATTTCACTTCAAAAGCAATTCATCATTGTCTTAAATAACTCAAGCTCTATGTAAGATTATTGGGACCAGTAAAGTACATATAACACTATACAAAATGGGTTACTACAATTGTGCTAATCATAACAACAAATCCCACACATCTATTAGCATGGTATCAGGATCATTTATCTTGAACTATAGATCAATGGAAAACTGTGCTTTGAACAGATGAGTCACAGTACACAATCTACCAGTCATTCATGGATATGATAGGTATCAAAATAATGGTACCTTCTGGAGCATATCATTTGGACAATGAAGTTTAGTGTAAACAGCATAATGGTTTGGCTTTGACTCATATGTTATTATAGACAAAAGTAGGAATGTTGGGCTTTATATAATGTCCTGGATAATTATGCACTACCAATTTTGCATCAATACTTTGGAAATCTCTATCATCAGAACAATACATGCCAAACTAGTTGTGTTGTAAAGGACTGATTTGAAGACACGAAAGTCAAAAAGATAGACCGACTACAGTCCAGAATTCTGGAATGAACTGTATTGTTGAGTACATGAGCAAGAGAGATTGTTTTGTAAACAAAGTTCATCTGATAGAACATATTGCCAGATATTTTAAATTATTTAAAACTTAGACTATATGACAAAGATTTTTGGCCATCATATAGGCAAAAGATTTCCGCAAATAATATTAAATCATTTTCTAATATAGATTGTTGAAATGTAGGGTCCTGATATTAATGATAGGGCAGTGTATACTGAAAAAGGAAATTTTTATAATTTCCATGTATATTAATTGAATAATGATATAATTTAAGAGAAAATATTCAAATACGTAAAATGTGGATAATTTCTAAGTAAGACTTTTAAGTAAAATTATGTATTTATAAGTACTTACAATTGCTCTATACTAAATTTTTTATTCTAAGTTAGGAAATATTTCTAAACTTTAGAAGGAATAAGTTTAAATTTAAAATAAAATTGTTTTATATTCTTCATTAAAATGCAATTATATTTAATTGAATCTATGTATTTCTGATACAATCCATTTGATAATTTTTTTCAGCTGAGCAATTTCGTTACAGTCAAAAAAATGTTTTTGTTCGAGCTCCAGTAGAAGAACTACCATGGACGGCAGCAGCTGCAGCTTTTGGTTTAGGATTTGCTTTATCACTTCTTTTTTTCATGGACCAGAATATTTCTGCAGCAATGGTTAACAATCCATGTAATAAGTAAGTTGATAGGATTGCTTTTAATTATAAAAATAAATTTATAATTTTTTGTGAGTTAAATCTGATAATTATTTAACAATAGACTGAAAAAAGGAACTGCCTATCATCTAGATCTCCTTGTTGTGGGAATTATTAATGGGTTCCTCTCTATATTTGGATTACCATGGATGCATGGTGTATTACCACATTCACCTATGCATGTACGTAGTCTTGCTGATGTTGAAGAAAGAGTTGATCAAGGACACGTTTATGAAATGTAAGATATATTTTTTAATAATCAGTTTGTTTTGTATTGCATTCTGGTATTAAGATATTAAAATTATATCCTATAGTATCGTGAGGGTTCGAGAAACAAGAGTTACGGGAATTGTATCGCACATATTGATAGGATTATCGATGTTACTATTACCTTATCCATTAGCCTATATACCAACTGCCGTTCTTGATGGACTGTTTCTTTACATGGCCGTAACGTCTTTGAATGGTAATCAAATGTTCGAAAGAATAACATTACTATTTATGGAGCAGGTCAGTATATTTAAATTATTAGTGGCATTAAATAGCAATAATATTAATAATAAACCAAATATTAAATTACTTTGGCATAAATGGCTAAGTGCTAAGATTTCCAACTTTCTCACATCACCTGATCCAGAAATTATAATGAAACAAAAACAGAAAAGACAAAAAACAATTGCAAGTGTTTATCTGAAAAATGTATAAAAATAGTTAAGGAAACAGCAAAATATAAATTCTAAATTTCTTTTTTTATAAAGATTTTATTAAGATTTTTAATGTCAACCAAACCTGGACTAAATAAACTCATAGGGAATAAAAAATAAACTTTTGTCATTTCTTAACATCTGGAATATTGTTGGGTTCTTTTTATAATATTGCAGATGTTAAGAGGAACCCAACAATATTCCACATGTTAAGAAATGACAAAACACCTTTAGACAGGAGCCTGGTTCCAGGTGTATACAGAACACTGTTGCATGATAAGAGGCTGCAAAAGGAACTATATTATATAGAAGCCACAAAACGATCGTTAACTGAAAGATTGAAAGAGCACGAAAGAAATATAAGATATGAACAACCAGTCACAGCTTTGGCAAATTACGCGATCGCAGATCCAACAGAGGTTTCAATCAAATGGGGCAATGCAGAAGTTATACAAAAGGTTGCAAACAGATGACATCTAAAATAGGCAGAGGCCTGACACATTTATAAGTACAGTGAAAAAGGGCAAACTGTAAATTTTTGGGAATCGTATAAAATTGCATCAGCATGGAAAGCGGCGGCTTTGCAAGTATAAAAGAACAAATGGACTTGTGCAATCGAATCTGCAAAGATTTTAGGTTTTTAAAAAAACATTCTAGAATTTCCATTTGACAAATTAAATTTTTTGTTCAATCCTGATGAAGGTCAGTTAATTTGACCAAAAACATTTGGTACATAAACAAAGTAGACTGCATTTTAAAGGTTTTTGGGTATTTTGGAAAACTAAAACATTATTTAGTGTTGGGTTTGACATTAAAATTTTTTAATGAAGATACATATTAGTTTTTACATTCTGCAGTTTTTGTAAAATCATTTTAAACAAATGAAATAAAGTCAAGAAAAAGTTTTGTTTTGGTTTGATGAAATGAAGACTTACCTGAAGGAACTCTCCTTTAGGTAAGTCTTTCTATAGAGTATTGGACAAATGAAGTAAATCTGAAAAGCTCCACCTGATCAGCAGATGAGGCATAAACTTGAGACCAATCATGTGCATTAGCAGTTTTGTTCACTTGGCCACTGATGGATTGTAAAGAAGTTATATTTTCTGAAATTTTTTAGCTTTGTTTTTTCAAAGTAGAACAATAACATCATAATGTTCAAAATGTTTTATAATGTCAATCAGTACTGCACCCAGGATTCAATTTTGGGGAACTGAGTTAAACAGATAAAAACATTTTAATGCGAATTCAATAAAGTTTCTACCTTACGTAACTGCTATTTCATAAGTAATATAGAAATAGAAGATACAACACAATATAAATAAAATATGAATTTTAATTAGGAAAAGAAACTTAATTCTTTTTTCTAATTAAAATTCATTTGAATTAATTTTAAATTATAAATTTTTCATACTCCCTCCAACCTTCTTATTTCTATCTTATTTATTTATTTTTTTAGTGTATTGATGCATCCTATGAAATTGCTTTAAATTTGCCATTTGGAACAATTTTAAGATTCCATTATTCTATGCTTGAGGAAGACAGTCTGTAATATGTTGGAAGTACTTGTAGTATTGTTTCAAGTAAAAAGTAATAATGCCAATAGACAGTATTAATATTTTTCTTAAAGTAGAAATTTTTGAGCATTTTGTAATTAGGAAAAGATTTTTTGAAAATTTTCTAGTGTTTAAATTTAAACACGTTCTTCTTGTCCTTAATTACTCACATATTATGTCTTTGTCCACTTTGAACTTTCTTGTGAACTAGGACTTGCTATACCAAGGAAGTGAATCACACAATTTCTAGGTAAAACACCTTTAATGTAACATAACCCTGTTACGTTAAAGGTGTTTTACCTAGAAGTTGTGTGATTCACTTCCCTTGGTATAGCAAGTCCTAGTTCACAATAAAGTCCAAAATGGACAAAGACATAAAGGAAAACAAACACTAGAAAATATATTTTCTTTACAGGGTATCAGGGTCCTTTGGCCCCCTCTGAGTGCACCAGTGATGTCAATAGTAAATTCTAAAGTATTCCATGGTTGTTTTAGATATAACAACAAACCAAAAATAAAAGTTATCTTAGCAAGACTTTGTTTTGTAACTACTAATGACAGATTTCACAATAGTATACTTATGACAAACAGCAGTAAGTTACATCCACATTACACTGACCAGTTCCATTTTCCACATGTCACATTACAAGAAGGGTTAATGGTGTTTGCTCAGCAGAGCTTCTACCTAAAAGAAACTGAACACGACAAAAAGTGAAGCCATTTTAATGTATTTTTTTGCAATTAAAATGATATAGAAAGTTCTCCACAAAAGATAAACAACAAATACCTATTACTAACTCAATCTGTAAGATTCAAGTTAAATTGTCATCTTACTAATAACATTGATCAGTTTTTAAATATTAAATCAACTTGTCAAATCTTTATCAATAGACAGAATTACTGTCCCTTTTGCATGACCTAAACAAATGATATCAGACATCAAACAATGGCATTTCTCCAAGATATGATTATTGGAAAACGACTTTTCTTTCCAAGTTTTTACCAATCCAACTATTCGGTAATTATTAGTGTTGCAAAGAATAGTATATTTGGCCTCAGGCCGAATATCGAATATTCGGCCAAACTATTCGGCTTGATTAACACATGTATGAAAATTGGCACACAAACCTCATTATGGCAAGGACCCTGCTCTCTATTGACCTGCTGTCACTATGCTTCGCCAATCACGTTAATTCTTGACAGTTGTAGCGGACAGACAAGAGCGTCATGGCAGTATGTGATAAATGATGATATCAAATGTGAATAACAATGAAATGACCTACATGTGTAAATAACGAAAAAAAGAACAGAGAAGGACCGCGAAGTGAAAATGTGAAAATAAATATGAAATTGAGTTGATAGCATAATCAAACAAGTCAAGGCAGCTTATTGGCGCGAAATTCGCGGCCGTCAATGCCAAACAATTGTTGTCATAGACTTCGGAAAGCTAAATGCTTGTAATGAAAGTCACTTAGCGTGCACAGGCAAAAGCCTGGGACCATTCGGGCTATCAAGCTGTCTCAAATCTGTGAAATCATAACTGTGATATATACTGACGTCCTATCTGTCTCTTTTCTCCGTTATCACCAGGCTATGAGTCACGTAATTATAAAATGGAAAAACTACAATGGAAAAGTGACGAATCAAAAGTATCGTGAGTGCGTATTATGATGTATGCATAGGCATATGTGGACTAGAGAGATGGAGGAAAGAGAAAGGAAAAAGCAAAGACGAGCACTTAAAAAGGATAGGCAGGGTCAGACCCTCACGTGTGTGCAACGATTCTCGAACGAATAGGTGTGTACATGTGCTGATCTTTGTAATTATAAATTGTGAATACACGTGACTAATATTATTATATTTTTTTATTTTGTGCATGTTATAAGTTATAAATAAATATAAACAAACAACATTAACCCAACAACATTAAATCTAAATACTAAAATGATTAATTTACTGTGTTTTTGTTATTTCTTACTCCTGTTTTTAGGTATTCGGTGTTTGGCCGAATAGTGATTAAATATTCATTACATCACTAGTAATTATTTAACCAGTTTCCTCAACATCTCTTGTTTTAACATTTATCACAAATTATTTAACTTTAAATCAATATCCAAATCTTGAATATTCTAAAAGATTGTCTCAAGAATAATCCATCTCATTATTTTTACTTCTATGTTTTCTTCTCATTGCTAATAAGAGAGATTATTTGATCTCTCTTATTAGCAATAAGTACAATGTTTATTCTACACAATTATTTACTTCAATTAGTTTCAGAAGGTTTTTATTATAAATAAGAATTTCAATGTTCTCTTTTATTTTGTAAATGAAAAGGTAAAAGAGATTTTCTGCATATTCTACAATTTTGACATAAATTGTTATAATATAGATGGGCACAAAAATCCATCACGCCTACAGAAAATTAATCAATCATATGTTCCATTTGTTGTTTGTTTCAGATAAATTGACCATTTTTCATGTTCTTTTATCTGAAACAAACAAATGGAACACACAATTAATTTTCTATAGGAGTGATTGGATCTTAGATTCCACCCTGCATATATATTTTCATCACATTAAATATACTGTAATTAAGATTTTAATAGTTAAAAAAGTTGGAGATAATTAATTATATTCTATTCAAAATATTTCAGGCAGCTTATCCACCTAATCACTACATAAGACGATGTCCGCAAAGAATGATACATCTGTTCACTTTTTGCCAAGTTGTCCAATTATCTCTGATGTGCTTTTTTGGATTTGCTCCTTGGCCATATGCTAAAATGATGTTTCCCGTCGTCATTTTACTACTACTACCATGTAGGTAAGTACAAAAAAATAATACTTGTGAATTGTTAAATGTCACATTCGGTACAGTTAGAGAAAGATTTTATATATTCTGTAATTACTTCACAACTTTTCCAGACACAAAATTGTACCATTAATCATCAACAAGAAGTATTTAGAAGCTTTGGATGGAGTCCATCAATGAAATGTACAGACAAACCAAAATAAATAATGACTGTATGGTGATAAAGTCACCACAGATCCAGTTACACTCCTGGTCCCTGTAGATGACATCACCCATCCTTCTGCTCAACAAACCAGAGGAAAAAACTGCATGCACGCTAGACAAACCGATGTTGGTCGGAACGGACGTTATATCCGAGAGGAGACGATCCAGATGTACCATAGACGCAAGCGTGTCGACGGATATCTGCTCGGGCATGCAGGTCTTTCCTCAGAAAGTGTTGTTGGTTACATATTGGATTTTAATTATGTTTGTAATCGGGCCAATTCGTACGAGATGAATCTTTTCTCGAATTGCAATAATGCAATACTAGTATAAAACAAAAGTAATCATCCGGTTTCGGTTTTATATCTACCCCCCGTTTTAAGTGTGATACTATTTGATGCGGCCACATTTTTTATTTCACTACTTAAAAGTTTACTAAAAGCTGCCACTTTCGAATCGGTTTTTGTTAGGTTTACCTATAAATTTCTTTAAAAAACAAAACAAAACACATTACAGTGCCGGAAATTACGACGATTTATTTACATAACTGACCCTAGGTGCCATTGCGTTTTAGTGCATCGAAGTGTTCGTCGTATTGACTCTTTTTCTTATAAAAAAATTAGCAAATCTGGAATCTTAAAAAAAAAGAAAAAAAAAATTATTTGACTGTTACCGGTGTGGATATCATAAACTGCCTGTTCCAAATAATATTGTTTTGTATTTTTTACCTCTGATGCTGGGAGTTGTGAAGGCAAGCAAGCGTACAGTCCGTCCCATACTTTGAACAATCATGCAATTATCCACAGCGCCGGCTCCAATTCTGTCCTCATCCAATGCACTGTGGGTTTTGTTGCCGTTATGTACAGTATATATACTTTGTCTTACGATTTTTAATTATGAGGACACGCTAAATAATGAATGCTTATTTTAATAACTATTAATCCTGTTCGAAGGATCGGGAATTAATTGGTTCCAACCATCATGGTCGTAAGATTTCAAAAAAAAAAAAAAAAATTCATTTTTTATTTAATTTAGCATACAAATTATTATTATTAATTACTATTATTATTATTTAATGCAAGCATTCGTAAAGATGCCTAATGCCTGTTATTTCATTATGGCTCTGTAGATATTGCATATCATTTTTATTCGATTCTATTACATCACAACTGCTTATTACATTTATTGACATTAGAAAAAAAAGAAAAAAATATATATATTACATACTGCAGATATACATGCAATGATTACGAAAATAATTTTAATACGGGTGCATCATGTATAGTGGAAAAAATGTATTATTGTCTGTCAGTTAATTCTTCTTGTCTTTGCTTAAATATGTGTAATGTAGCTTCTGATGACAACCTAATTTTTTATTTACATACACACATACACACACACACACATACACACATCAACTATTTTTCTCTGGCCTTTATGTTGTTATAAGTTGCCCCTCTGGTCAAACCTGTCGATGATGTTTAGAGTGAAACCGTCAGAATATTTTGACTAAAAAAAAAACAATTAATTATAATCTAGCTGTGGCCTTGTCATGAGATTTGTCCTTAAAAAAATTCTATAATTTATGCAAAAAAAAATATTTAAATTAGACATATAATATTATATTTACATAAATATGTACATATATATATATATATATACACATATAAATATTTAAATAAGATTGAAGAGTAATATAGAAATATTAGTTAAAAATAAACAAAATAAATAAAAGTTTTAATTATTAAATATGAGAAATTCTAAAAAAGATTTTATCTTAAAAGATATTGTCGTGTTATCGATTATATTTATTTATTTTATATAGTGACGAATTACAGACCAACAAAGGGTCTTAGTTGGAAAGGCACAATTGAATACCAATGGATAAAAAATAATTAATTAATTAATTAAAATAAACCAATTGTAAATAGTTGTTTTTGGAAAGTAGGGATATTTTTAAAAGATACGAAGCTGCCACGTCGCAGCTGGAAATTATACTGTTGAGCGTTTGTCAAGTTAGTTCAAAATCAAAAGATATTAATCTTATACGAAGTAATTGTTTCCCATTTGAAAATTTTACCGTACGTTACTGTTACATTTACTATTACCTATGTTTAAGATGAAGACGAAGGAGAAAAAAGTATCTTTTTATTGTGATATGTATAAAACAAAATGCAGTTTCTTAACGAGTTTATTAATATTATACATTATTTTGAGATGTGCAACAAGCATGGAATTAGTGTGTTGCATGTAACAACTACGTTAGTATGGAAAAAAGCAAAAAAAAAAAAAAATCAACCAACGGATGACCACGACTTTAGATCAACATATCAAAACCCAATTTAACAATGACACAGAATCAAGAATGAAATCTTCTATATAATCTCTTTGACACATTGGAGGTGCTTTGTTTATGTATAATTTTATTTATTAAACCAATACCAAAATAAAGCATGGGCCCCGTCTTATAATATCCCATAAGTCCAAAATTTTCGTTTGATTGCTTTTGTCAACAAAAACTCCTTTAATTTATTCTTAACTAATTATACCAACATAACAAAAGTAAAAGATAAAAGTAAATGCAGTTTAAGATTTCCCCGCATCTACTTTGCTATATATATATATATTTAAAAAAGAAATACATATATAAATATATATTGGCTAAGCTGGTACAACGACCGGTCACATGAAATGAAAGAAATTTTCAAAAAATTAAAAAAAAAAAACAAAGGGCCGTTGGTCAGTCGGTTCGTTCGGATCCGGACCGAATTTCCCGTAAGAATGCGTAACTTGGCAGATAGTTTACGCCACGCTCTCGACATTTCAGTAGCAGTAGACAGAATATAAACAGTAGACATAACTTTTCATCATTTGCTCAAAGACGTTCGATGTCTTAGACACTATTACATGTCGATCGGAAGAGATTTCAGTGCAATTTAGCAATACACCAAAGAAATTCTATGGCTTGTTGACTCTTGCGTCACCGTGGCACAACCGTAGACCCGGTTGACTGCCGGTAGCCTAGCAGATAGAGATGAACAAACACTTCCATATTGTTACGCTACAGCGAGTCAACATTGTGATAATTACATAGTTGTACCTTAGTCTTAGTATGTTTTTTGTATGAGTGCACGGAACTGTTCGGACGCATTGTTGGAACGGCTGGAGGCAACTGTTATAGAAAATTATAAATAATGTAAATATTTTAGATAGTAAAGAACCACTAATTCTTTGTTTCCTCCAGCAAGGTAGTGCTCAAATAATCACATTAATCCTATATGTGTATTGTTTTTACACCTCCACCTTCAGTTAGGGAAGAGGTGATGTTGGTGTTGTGAATATAGTTTTAGTAGAAGATATGGCGATAATATAAATATATAATTATGAGGATAGGTTTATTTGTATAAATGGACTCATCCCAAAAGAATGAATAAAACAAATATTTGCAGAAATGTTGTGTCCTTTCTTCAAACAATAATCCTTAAATAACACTTTGCATAAATTTTCCAGTACTAACAAAGAAAACCCTTTTTATTAAAAGATTAAAGGCAAAATCTATCAAAACAGCCATATTTTACTCAATTTCATGTTCCGAAATACATTCTGTGATGACCTGACCTTTTTAAGCTACTTGGCTTCCAAAAAACTATTTTGGCAACCAAGTAGCCTTAAAAAAGGTCAGATCATCATGGAATGTATTCTGGAACATAAAAGTAACTCTTTTCCATAGACTTTGTCTTCACCAGGATGGTAATTTTCATATTAAAAGACTGAAATTTTACAAAAAAAGAAAGAAAACTACTTACGTTACATCATAACTTTCTTCCATTGTTGTTTAATTAAAGCATAATTTTTCTGTAGAGAATAGCAAGAAAACATTAAAAAAATTGATTTTGAGCACTTGTTATTGTTAATTCATCATTAGGAAGATTTAAACATTATTCCATCCATCTCATTGACAATAATAGACAATGAATACTATGATACGCTTCTTGTCTAGTCTTCTGAATGGCTTGTGAACACTAAAATTGGCTTTACTTTACTGCTAGGTCCTATGGTGTAATAAGCCTAACGGTAAAGTAAAGCCAATTTTAGTGCTCACAATAATAGACAAATTGTTTAAACTCAATCACTTTTTTATTTTCCTCTTTATTTATGTACTAATTTAAATTTATCATTGCTGTTATGAGTAATTTTGAATTTATTTTATTCAATATTTTCAGAGTTGTTCAGATATTCAAATTGTTGCAACAATCAGAATTTCTGTAGAAAAACAGAATATGCCAAAGAAAGAGATTTTAAAATCACAAGGTCATTGGTTGTTTATAAACGTCTTTTCCATAATTTTTCATAAATGATATATTGAAGGTACAATTTTTATGAAATTTATATAATATTAATATTTTAATTATTATGTTTTTGGAACTTTTTTCTGTTTAGTTATTTACACTCACATTCAAAATAAACATAATCATTAGTAATTTGAGTTATAGACCAAATTAATCAGAACAGTAAGAAACTTAATACACAAGCAGAACAATGCTTTTCAATTGTTTTGTTGCATAAAGAATACAAAAATTTCATCGAAATCATGTCAAACCAAAAGTAACAAGAAAAAAATACTAAGCATTGTCATCAATCTTTTTACACAGAAAACGATTAATGTGGCATGTAATTATCTCCTGCACGCATGCATTCTGCACATGATTATAATGTTTATCAGTTCTGCCAGGAGCAAAGGTTCATTCCTAAATAAGCACATTTTGAAGCTTTTGGATTGTTCTTGGCAGAGGCAGATGAGATGCAATTCATCTCCCTAGAGCATCCCGTACATGTTCTATGGCATTTAGATCCAGAGATCTTGCTGGCCATTTCTTGCAATGAATGTCTTCGTTGTTGAGAAAGTGCACTGGATTATTGTCCATGAAAATGAAATCTGCATCTGCTGCACTGGAAAAGTCTCGAATAAAGTTACAAAACTGCATCTACCTACCTTCTCCACAAAGTCGTGAAGCATAATGTTGCCCTATACCAGTGATGGGCAAACTATGGCCCGCGGGCCAGATGCGGCCCCCTGAAATGTTCTATCCCGCGCAACATTATTCCTAATCTGACGAGTAAAAAAGAATACAGGCTGTGGTGGTTGATGCACCACTTAACTTGAGTGTTCGTTGATTATATAAAATAACCGAAGCTTTATATCTCACCATGAAAGTTTATTTACAATCATGTACAAAATTTTGTTTTACACTTATTGAGTAAAAGCTCGATCGCTTACAAGCATGCTTCGGTACAGAACATCCACTCGTCGTGCGTAGCGTAGCCGAAAGAGAGAAAAAGAAATATGGCGGACAGCCTGCACATGTTTTTATAGCGCCACCTGGATTTTCAGATGCAGTGCTAGGTTACAATTATATTGGCCCGCCTAAAGTTTTCTTCTTTTCCTTTGGCCCGCTCTTTAAAAAGTTTGCCCATCACTGCCCTATACCATAAAACCACCATCTGCAAACAAGTCTCTTTCCAAGATGTTCATGGAACCGTGAATTTATGGGATTCCTACTCTCTCCAGATTCTAATCCAATAGGAATCATTCTGTAGACCGGGGATGGGCAACCTGTGGCCTGCATTAATATTTTTTACTGCCCATGTTGCATAAAATATGAATAAATATGTGAGGTTTGCCGATTGGGGAGAAAGTGTCATGACAATCGAGAGGTCAGCACTGTCACGTGGGAGTGGAAAAACTTATTGAGACAGGTCCTCCATCACAAACAGTTTATTAAATATATTTCACTTACAACTACTTCGGCATAGGGTATATCCGAAGAGTGAATCAATTCCTAAATAAAGTTCAATCGTTTGGACGATCTTCTCTTTTTCTGGCAAAGATGATGAGGAAAACGTAGGCTCCGGAGCGCACAGCACAACTTGAAGGGGTGATTCTCGTAGCAGGATACACTTGGCGAAACTTGCTGGGACAGGATGGTGAAAACTTCTTCTGGAATGTCAATCAAGTTTCCGTTGTTGAACCGCAGGAAAAATCCAGGAGCGGAGTACACTGAACTAAGAACCAAAAACGTCGCCTTCTTTTTTCGCATGGTTTTTATAAGTTTTTTCTGGGTCCCAGATCGAACATTCCGATAGGTCGATGCCGATCTGCCCCACTCTCTAGTTGGTCCCCCTCCTCATTACGAATTGTAACGAGATCGTAGCCCAGATCGCGGGGTGAGTCAACTCCGACTGACAATTTGATTCCTATCAAAGATGTTCGATCTAAGCACTCAAATTCATCTATTGTTTCATTCTGAGAAATTCGTTTTTTTCTCAGAAATTTCTACAAATACGTCTTTATATGGACATAAAATATTCATTTTGCATTTGATGGTTTCTTTTACAATATAAAATAATAATTATTATTATTAATTTTTTTTCATTCAAAATTAAAAACATTTTCTGTGCATGAATTTCGACCCACTTCTGGAGCTTCACAATATATCAATTTCCCAGCTTAATTAATTAATTAAGGACGTATATAGCAAAAATTCAAACGTTATTTTCTATGTATGTGAATAGTTATTCTGCACAGAATTTAATAAAAATTAAAAGAAGAA